ATCACATGACCTAAAATGGACACCTAACATCAAAAACATCATCAAAAAGCACAACAAAGAATGTTCTTTCTGGGCCAACTCAGAAAGCTCAAACTGCCCAAGGAGCTGCTGATATAGATCTACAGAGGAATTATTGTCATCTGCACCTCTATAACTGTCTGGTTTGGTTCTGCAACCCAACAGGACAGACACAGACTTCAGAGGATAATTAGGACTGCAGAAAAAAAAATTACTACCCACCTGCCTTCAATTGAGGACCTGTATACTGCACGAGTCAAAAGGAGGGCTGTAAAAATATTTACAGACCCCTCACATCCGGGGAATAAACTGTTTCATCTCCTTCCCTCAAAACAACGCTGTAGAGCACTGCACACTAGAACAACTAGACGCAAAAACAGTTTTTTCCCCGAAAGCCATCACTCTGCTAAACAAATTCCCTCAACACTGTTCAACTATTTACAAAGTGTACACTGCTATTACTGTTAATCTTCTCATCACTCCTTATCACCCATCCCCTCCCACTTGTGATTGTAGGACTGTAACTTTGTTGCTTGTATCCTTACAATTTATATTGACTGTTTCCTAGTATGATTTGAATGTTGATTGTACCCTGTGACTATCATTAAGTGTTGTATGTTATGATTTTTGATTCTTAACGAATGTATCTTTAGGTATACTGAGAGTATTTACACCAAGACAAATTCCTTGTGTGTCCAATCACACTTGGCCAATAAAGTATTCTATTCTATTCTATTCTATTCTGTTCTATTCTATTCTATTCTATTCTATTCTATTCTGTTCTATTCTATTCTATTTTATTCTGTTCTATTCTATGTAAGTTAAAACCATAGTAATGGTTACATCATCAGTGCTTAAATATCATAATGTACACATAATCAAAATGTACACATCTGCACCATTCCATAGCTTGTTTCATGTACTGGCATGTGGATTTTATAGTTAAGCTGACAATATTTCCTAGCAGGTAACTCCAGCCATTTTGCCCTACTGAGTATACATTTGCTCTGATAAAAATCCTTTCCCCAAAAAAACTCATTCAGCATTTCAAATTAGCACAACTGGGTTCTATATTTCCTGAGTACTCTGCACTACCAAAACCACTTCAGCAAGTTATTATTTTTGTTTTTGTTAACCCCTTCGCCTGCAGAACTGTGGATGGGTTTCAGAAATATGGGATGTTGGTAGAAGACTACAATTGGGGAATTGGCAGAAATTGGACACTTCACCATATGCACTTTTTATTAGATGCAGCTGTTACTGATTATAGCTCCATAATGAAAACTGATGTGGGAAGCTCACCAACTCTGAATCAGCTTCAGGAGATAAACAAAGTTTCTGATATTGACAATTGTTCAGATTATTCTATGTCCAGTTTGGATTAGGTTACAGCTCTAATTGTACTTGTACTGGAGTTTGATTCTTTCCTTGAAAGACCCCTTCAACCGACTTACAAGTTCTCCAGAGTATCTCCTCTGCTATGGGAATTATGACAAGCCAGATTGAAGGTTTGGATAGTGTGAATAGTGTGACTTCAGTTTCTGAGCCCTTCCTTACCTGCATACCTTTGTGCAGGGTTTCTCACTATCACACAACTTTAAAATGTGTCAACTTCCACTTCCAGAATACTGGAGGGGCAATTTTGGGAATTGGAGTCCACACATCTTAAAGCTGATGAGGTTGAGAAACACTGCCTTAATGGAACCCAGATTGGTTGCAGCATAAAAATAATTTTGTTGTTAGTTGCAAAGTCATGTCCAACCCATTGCGACCCCATGGCCTTCCTGTCCTCTACCATCCTCCGAATTCCATTTAAGCTCATGCCTACTGCTTCAATGATTCCATCCAACCACCTCATTCTCTGTCATCCCTTCTTCTTTTGCCCTCAATCTTTCCCAGCATTAGGCTCTTCTCCAGTGAGTCCTTCCTTCTCATTAGTTGGCCAAAGTGAGTTTCATCTTCAGGATCTGGCCTTCTAAAGAGCAGTCAGGATTGATCTCCTCTAGGACTGACTGGCTTGATTGTCTTGCAGTCCAAGGGACTCGCAGGAGTCTTTTCCAGCACCAGAGTTCAAAGGCCTCAATTCTTTGGTGCTCAGCCTTTCTTATGGTCCAGCTTTCACAGCCATACATTGCAACTGGGAAAACCATAACCTGACTATACACTTTTGTTGGCAGGGTGATGTCTCTGCATTTTAGTATGCTGTCTAGATTTGCCATAGCTTTCCTTTCCAGGAGAAAGCATCTTTTAACTGTTGGTGTCAGATCTGTGTATCTGCCATTCTTCAATGGAAGAGGGGGTGGGAGTTGGTACAAGTAATCCTTTTTGATGTAACCTGAATATTTTAAGTCTTGTATTGAATCTGTATAACTTGCACATGATATACAACTGGGGACTGGAGACCAGATGCCTGGAAACTTGTTACCTCTTAGAGAGATAGCAAGAAGAGAAGGGGCCATAAAAATTCCAGCTCCAAACTTCCTGGGAAACATTTCTCAACTACATTCCCAGAAAAGTGGCAGGGAGATAACATGTCGCTCTTTGTATTGATGAAATCCACATCAGAATAAGGGAAGGGGTTCTAACTCCCTTTATCTATGCTGTATGCAGGGGTGGAATTCTACCAGTTCGCACCTATTTGCTAGAACTGCTTGTTAACATTCCAAGCAGTTTGGAGAACCAGTTGTTAGAAGAAATTACTGGCCTAATCCTGTAAGGAAGGCAGGAAGGAAATATTCTGGTGTTGCTTACAGAAACTGCTTCTCCATTAACCCTTATTAAATTCTTGGCAGGATTAGACTTCCTGTCTCAGGAACGTCTCTGGAGTTGTTTTCCTCTCCTTTGCTGGTACTTTGCTTGTGTGGAGTGATGATTCAAAGTTACAATGGCACTGAAAAAAGTGACTTATGACCGTTTTTCACACTTAACGATTGTTACAGCATCTCCACAGTCATGAGAGGCCAGGTGAGGAGATACGTGCCTCAATGTGAGTGATATTGAGTTGGCCATACCCAGCCAATTACATGACCATCAAGCCATGCCCACCACCTAGGCCACACCCACAGAACCGGTTGTTAAAAATTTGAATCCCACCCCTGGCTGTATGCTTGGAGGCATATTAGACCCTGCTTTGACTAACTTCCTTTCAATAAAGAATTCCTTTTGAAGTACCCAGCTTTCAGAAGTTCATTCTTAAAGTTTGAAGGTGAGGGAGTCTGGGCCTTACAGTTGGTGCACAATGCTTTACCCAAAATACTCTTGTATTTTGCTGGCCTTTTCAGAATGCAGAAGAGCACGAAAACCATGGCCTGAGGATAATGCAAGGCCCAGAATTCTGAGACAGGGAGGAAATTGAATGAGCTAACCCAGGGATAGGGAAAGTTGGCTCTTTTATCACTTATGGACTTCAACTCCCAGAATTCCTGAGGGAGCCATAAAAGGTTCCCCATCCCTGGCCTACTGGTTTTTCAGTTGTGGGGGAAATCAATTTTTGACTTGAATGGGACTGTTTAATATACAAATGTAGGACATAGGCCAGGGATGGGGAACCTTTTATGGCTCACTCAGGAATTCTGGGAGTTGAAGCCCATAAGTGGTAAAAAAGCCAAGTTTCCCTACCCCTGAGCTAATCCTCTACACCCAATATAGAAATATATATTTTCCCTTGATTAGGTTTCATTCAATATTAAACCACCAGTTTTACAAATCATACAAACTGTCATTGCTGCTGAACACCCTTCCTTCTGGACAGTGTTTAACTCAACTTCATCTTCCTTAGCTTCAGCCTTGAAAAAAAACCTCAATGCAAAATATTTAATTGGTGAACACCTGCAGGCTTTTTGGAACCACTGTTGCCCCCTTCCCCCTTGCTGATGAAAAGTAATACAGCCCAATGGGGTACCAGACAATAACATTTAACTAAATGAAGAGACTATTAAATGAGGCGTCTCAAGCCAATGTTTTCAGGGGAGGCATTTTTCAGGTTTTCCCAAGGGTTGAGAAGAAAGTACTTTTGTCTTGACTGCACACAGAAAATGTGTGTATTTATTTAGTTTTATATTGTCTGCATACTCACCACATCTGATCATAAGGATAGATCAAAAGTGCATCTCCTGTTTCAAACAAAACATGGTTTCATTCAAACTTAAAGCTAAACCACAAGCTTGTGATTATTTTTTCACAGTTTTTCTACAGAAGGGAGAGTCTTGCAGTTATAATAATTCTCCCTGTGTATGCAGATCACTTTAGCTCTTCTTGTGCAAATATATTGGTATGAAAATGCAGACTCTTCCCTTTACAATAGTTTAAAAATAAGTCTCATTTAGATCATCCCACTTTATATTTGTACATTCTGATGAACGTAATGATGCCAATTTAATTTACATTCACAACAGCCCAAAATTAAAAAGGAGCAATACATAATTTGGGGGAAAGGAGGAATACATAATGACGGGGAAGAAAGTAAAGTAAAAGATAAATAAGACATGGTTCTGTGCACACTAAAAGTGCAATTTTTATTGCATGCTTTGGTAAGGACATTTATTGGCTCAGCAGTTTTTGATGAAGGAGTTTCTTTTTTAAATTAAAAGATACCTTCATGTGAATGCTAGAAGCTTTGTCCCATGCTAGGTCCATGAAGTGCTAGATGGCGAAATAAGTCTGGCTTTGCTATAGCTGATTTGGCCGTTAAAGGTTTCAACAATCCCTTGGCAACTTTGTGTGAGTAAAACTAAGACTAACCTTTCATGTATTATTTGACAGAAGAACAAATGCTAGTTAGCCTATGTTTATGGCAATGGTTTTCCCTGCCAGGATTCTTCTGATATAGAAACTTAAAAATTATTCTCAAGGGAATACATAATGAAATTCTTTTATATCCCTCATTTAAAGCAACGCAGTAAAGAGACAAAAGTAAAAAAATATAACTTCAACATATTTAACAGAATGTGGAAGTGGCAAGATATGATTGTTAATTCCAGGCATTTAACAGGAAAAAAAATGGCCTTTTATTGCAGTTTGCAATTGCAATTAAAAAAGGACAGATTTTGGATTAGATACATTGCACTACAAAATTCAATGATGTTGCATTCTCTTCTGCACAAACTTATACTTTTAAATTGTAATAAGACAGCTAAAACAGCATACATCACACCAGTATCTTAAATTGCTTTCTATTTCTTAGCTCTGCATGCATAGAAAAATATGTGTTCATTGAAGAACATGTGAAAAATACGTGATCATCTAAGTTTATAAAAATAAACCCTATTGCTGAAGTTAACACAGAGAAAAAAACCTTCAGGAAATATAGGCAGAAAACACTGCTGCTGTTGAATTTGTTAAATATGCTTGGCAATTATCACCAACAAAAATCCCATGTTTAAACATCTGAAGAAATTATTTGGCACCATTCCTTCTGCAAGTGAGCAGTTTGATAGACAGACTGGAATCAGACTGGCATCAAATCTCAGTACGTTCATTAAGCTTGCAAAAGTTCTGAAATATAAAAAAATAAAGCCATTTTACTGTGTGTATATTTATTTGTTTATTTATTTATATTTTGTATTTCTTAATCACCAATCTCCCTCAGATGTACATGCATATTTCTATCACTATCCTCTCTCTCTCTCTCTCTCTCTCACACACACACACACACACACACTTTGAAAAATGAAAGAGTGCTAAAAGCAAAGCTTCCTATTTACATTCTTCTATCAGTGAAAGAGGGGTGCATTCTCTGTTTCAAGAAAAAAACAACATAATAGTGTAACATAAGCCATACTTCTCCAACCTGTTGTCCTCCAGATGTACTGGATTACAACTCCTATAATTTCCAGCCAGCAAATGTTCAGAAGACTTCTAGCTTGTTTGTTTGTTTGTTTCTAAAATTTACTGGCCGCCCACCTTGCCATAACGTAACTCTGGACGGCTTACAGACCTAAAAAATACATCTACATATACACTGAAACCTGAATAGATTAAAACCAAAGATTAAAATCAAGGACACATGGGGAGGATGGGGGCGGAATGGGGGGAGGTGGGATCTATTGTTAATCAATCAACCACCTATACTATGGGGCCCTAGAGGCTAGACCAATTGGCAGAGACAGGTCTTTAGGCCCTTACAAAAGGGTAGGAGGTTTGGGAGCAAACCTCACATCAGGGATAAGATGCAGGGGGTGGCAGCAGAGAAGGCACTCCCCCTGGACCCCGCCAGCTTTCTATTGGGCTGACCTGACCCACAGCATACCTCCTCTGCTGGCATTAGTGGGAAGGGCCAATCCCAATGGGGTGAGATGGTCCCTCAAGTAATCTGGACCCATACTATGAAGGGCTTTAATTCAACCCCTTGAATTGTACCCAGAAGCAGACTGACAACCAATGCAGCTTGTGGAGCAGTGGTGTTACTGGGGCCATTCTTGGGGGCTTCCTAACAGATTTGAGAATTTCAGTTCCCAGAATTCTTAGCATTGCTGACTGCTGATGGCTAAGATTTGAAACCTGCAATCTGGGGGAAAGGCAGTAAGATCTTGTATTTTGTGGAACAGCTATCAGAATCAGGCATGCATCATGGATAACTAAATCCAAATCAAGACCATATTTTATTTTATTATTTTATTTATTAAATTTATTTGCCACCCATCTTGCAGCTCAAATTCATGACATCAATGAAGGTGGTTCCTGCATTTCAAATCTTCAAGCTGCAAACCAGAGGTGGTATTCAGCAGGTTCTGACCAGCTCTGGAGAACCAGTAGCGGAAATTTTGAGTATTTTGGAGAACCGACCAATGCCACCTCTGATTGGCCCTGCCCCCATCTATTCTCTGCCTCCCCAGTCCCAGCTGATTGGCTGGGTCTTTTTTGTTGCCCTGCACAGGAGAACAGAGCTGAAAAGTAGGTTGGTGGGGTGGGGAGGGAATGGGATTTTGCAGTAACCTTCCCCTGCCATGCCCACCAAGCAATGCCACCCACTAAGCCACACCCACAGAACCGGTAGTAAAAAAATTTGAATCCCACCATTGCTGCAAACCCTGAACTTCGCTGATCTATTTATCTGCTAAGAAATCCATCATTAGTAAATGTTACTTTTCATTCCCATCATCTCGTTACCTACCAGTTGATAGACAAATCATATAGCCAACTGTGCTACTGAGTTAATTCATTCACACTTTTCAAACCTATTCCAGGGCTGTTTTATGTTGATAACAACCCTTTCTCAAATTTTACACTCCATTTGCTAATGATACACAGAAAATGTCATAATAAAATTGTTTTCAAAAATAGTGCACAAGGAAATGTTATATATATATATATATATATATATATATATATATATATACACACACACACATATACATACATACATACATACATACATACATATACATATACATACATACATACATACATGCATACATACATACATTATATATATATTTTTTTTCGTAGATTTTCATGGGTACAGGTATGTAGATCTAGGTGTGTTCGGGTCTTTTCCCGTGTAAGATTAAGAGTATCGTGGTGACATTTCAGCGAGGTCCCACTCACCATCCTCAGGCTGCTGCTTTCGGCTTCGTGCCAGTGCAAGCAGTGTGTGATGGTGAGTAGGACCTCGCTGAAACATCACCAAGATACTCTTAATCTTACATGGGAAAAGACCCAAACACACCTAGACCTACACACACACACACACACACACACACACACACACATATATGTGTTTTCTGAGGTTCTCGCGGGTATTAGTATGTGGATCTTTGGTTATTCGGGTTTTCTCCCGCGTAAGATTGGAAGTATCTAGGCAACGTTTTGATGAAGTCTCATTCAAATTCAGAAGCCTGAAGATGATGAATGAGACTTCATCGAAACATTGCCTAGATACTTCCAATCTTACGCGGGAGAAAACCCGAATAACCAAAGATCCATATATATGATAGCAGATGAGATTCTGCTGAAACGTTGCTACAACTTTAAAAGCACAACTACAATGACGTGGGAAAATACCCGAACAAAGCTGAATGCCATACATGCATACATACATACATACATACATACATACATACATACAATCAGGAAACAAGCACATAAATCAATAGAAATTTTCATGTTTATTTTTTTTCACTGAAATTAATGAAGAAACAAGATGGAATAAATATAACACTGGACAAATGAGCAATTGAGTGAAATCCAACTTGGCAGATGTACAGTATTCACATCAGTTGCAGTGGGTCCTAGCATTTCATTGGCACTGGGCCTGTTCATTAAATTAGGTATCTATCTCTGGAGTCTCTAACAACAATTTACAATAATCGTAATTGTGATTGTTTGATTTGGGAAGGAAGGAATAATCCATAGAGTTAATTCCAATATTATTACATAGATATAAATAACAGCTGCAGTATTATCTGTTCTTATTTTTTGCTACTAAGGGAATATTCAAGAAATTCTTATGTTTATGTATGGAAAAGCAGAGGACAGAATGGTTGAATGATTAAGTTTGATATACCCTTCCTTCTGTAATACATCTAAACAAACATCACTTAATTTCTTAACTTTGGTTGATCAAGTAAGATCAGTGGAAAAGGCATAACAGTTGGGTTTGTTTGTTTGTTTTAGATAACAGGAATGTTTATGGCAGTGGTGGGATTCAAATATTGTCACCACCGGTTCGGTGGGTGTGGCTTGGTGGGCGCGCTTTGCGTATTTCATTGCTAGATCTCTAATTGTATGGTTCAGCCCTATGCAATCAGAGACTGGCAGCAAAACCATCAGCTCCCCCAGTCATAGCTCCAGTGTTGGGTGAGTTGCCAAAAGAAGCAGATGGTCTCTGATCCTACATTTTTCTTGCCACCCCTGCTAGACTGGGAAAAATACTTGGGAAAGTGGCAAACGAAAAAGAAAAGGAATGGAATTGGAAAATACCCACTAGCTCTCCAATACCACAGTGTCACTCCTGGTAACTGAAGAATTGATGAAAAAACAGAGACCTACTTCCAGCTCTTAGTGGAGGTAGAGAGGTGGTGGAGACAGGTGGCTGTTTGGACAGGAGAAAATCCTAGTTGGATAGAACTGTTATCTGCTGGTACCAAAAACAAACAGACCTGGAAAACTGTGCCCAGGAACCAGATGAGAGGAGGCATATCCACAGTCACCTATCATAGCCAATGGGAGCTGAGTAGTTTTCAGCCACTGACTGCATCAGTAAGCCTATCATTAATGAGATGTAGATCATTTGCACTGCAAGGTAAGTATCAGGAGAAGAAGAAAAATATCATTTTAACATCAGAAAGATAAGCTGAGTGGTGCGGTGGCCTAGAGGTGGAGCTCTCACCTCACAATCAGGAGGCTGTGAGTTCGATCCTAGGTGTACAGGCAGATATTTATCTCTCTGGGCACACTGAGAATAATATAACTGCTGAAAAAAACCCTCCACATTGGCAACAGGAAGTGCATCCAGCCACTAAACACTCAGCTCTGTTCAGTTGCCTAGATGCCATCCCACAAGATTTTGTGGGGCCATTAAAAGAGGATGATGATGATCAGATAGATAAGCTACTTCTATGAGAGCCTGGGAATGAGACAAAGGGAGTGTGTCAACACTCTAATGAGAGGTGAAAAGATGCTATCAGGGGCAATAAACTATGCAAGCTAGGAACAGATCTGCTTTCTTAGAGTTCCTGAATATTAGATGATGAAAATAAGCAAGTAAACACACATACACACAAACAATAAGAGCTGAGCATTTCCCTTTCCCCCTGTAAACTGGGTGTCCAGTTTAGAAAGAGAAACTCGAGGTAACCTCTTAACGTCTTGTTTTTCACATAGACTGAGACTTACCCTGCTAAACTGAATGGCAGCAACAGCTGAAGAAACCGACTCATAGAAGACAGCATTCTCTAATTCTAGCTTTCCATTGAATTTCAGGGCCTTTTTCAAAGAAGCTGCAGTAAGAGAAGGCGGCTTTGTAAAAGAGGAGCAGGAACACCACAAATTAAACATAATTCATAAAAATTATCTTCACTGAAAATTGATACCTGCCTTTGCAATTTGCCAGACAAACATTTATATTATTCTGTTGAGCATCCATATAAATCTAAAAGAGAGGAAATATTTATATATATATATATATATATATATTGTTCAGGATTATGAAGCATTTTAAAACTGTTTCATGTAAATAAAAAACATTAATAGAATTAATTCTTATTCCAAGTAGACAAAGGAATGAGAACATAACCCAAAACCCAAATCTTTCTATTTTTCTAAATTATTATTTACCTTCATTTTTTAATGTCATTATTAGCAATTTTTTTCCAAAGATTCATAATATTCTTGCTATAGATAAAAAAGCTCTTCAGGTTTTACGTTTCTAAAACATTCAGCTCTCTTTTTTTGTTTATGCATACTTTAGGTGTCTGCCTTATTTTACTTTGGCGTTAAGTGCTTGATTTCTAAATCTAATTTTCTTGCTAATTGTGAGGATTTCTTTTTAATTAGATTTAGCCGGTTTATTCATTCTCCTCATACTACTTGCTTTCATAGCCTCCTATCTCATTTGCCTCGCATCAATTTCTTTCAGAACATTTGTTAAGACTTAAGATAAATTTTGTTTTGTTGCTTAAGGACTAATACAGGATTTTTATTTCTTACTTTCATACTAATTGCCTGGACAACTCCACACATTTTCTTGACACATTCAGGAGTGCTTTGCCATGGATTTCTTCTTAGGCCTGAGAGAGAGTGACTGCCCAAAGTCATCCAGATTGTATAATACAGGAATGTCAAACTTGATTTCATTGAGGGCCGCATCAGGGTTGTGTTTGACCTCAGGAGACAAGGGTGGGCATGGCCAACTCAACATCACTCATGTTGGGGGTGCCTGTGGTAATGCTCTCCAAGTGAAAATGGAGTTCGGGAGGGCTGCATACGACATCTGTTTTCACTGGCAGAGGGTTGCAGGAGGCAGTTGCAGGCAAAAATGGAGATCATGCAGCCCTCCCAAGCTCCGTTTTTGCTGGTAGAGGCACCATGGGCCAGTCCTTTGCCGTTTCCAGGGCAGCCCCACAAACCAGATCTAAGCACTCTGAGGGATGGATGCGGCCCACGGGCCTTGAGTTTGACACCTCTGGTATAATACAATGAATAGGTGTGTTTGACAGGGTAAATGAAACGAACAATTACAGGTTATACTTAGATGCTAAAAATCAAAGTATTTTACCTTCGTAGAACGTAGACTAATTTTAATATATGGAAATTCTTACAGAAAGGTACAGGTAGTAGGTGGCCTGTTGTTAGGAAATAATGTTTGTCAAGGAAAAAATGGCTATTATAAAGTAAGACTGTGGTTCAGTCCCTTGTTATATGAAGTATCAATTGGGTATAACAGGAAAAGCATAGAGGTTGATGCTGTGGAATCAGATGCTTAAGAAGTGTAAATGGTGAATAACAACACAGAGGCTCAAGGAATGGATGCTGAATGTATGTGAGTTAAATGCAAAACTAAGTGATCAGTACCAAAAAAAAAAAAATCATTGAATGATCTGGTCACATGAGAAGTGAATGACAGTCAATTATATGAGATAGATGGGGTGCATAAGGCAATAATAATTCTTTTTAACGTCCTCCTCTCAAAGTTAAATTTTGGCAAATTAGTACCTCATTCTGCATGAAGTTTATGCCATAAGGAGATTATGAAGAAATGTTTCAGCAGTGTCTCATATATCTAATATTATCTCTGTTTCCTATCAGAATAATGACAATTGTACTATCCCTTGTTGTATTTGCTTTACTTTTTTTTTTATAGCAATGATTCATTCAACAAATGTCCATCCATTTCAAAGCAATGAGCTGAACAGGAACATAGTCTAAAGTAATAATAGTACCTACAGTATACTGCATCACATGCTTTAACTTCAGGAGTCAAAGAACAAAAAGAAATCAAGAAACAATCTATCTGAAATCAGTTCTTAGGCCCAGAAGAAAGAAAGGCATACCAGCCTTGGGGAGGATTAATAGAAAGCCAAATACGCAGCTACTAAAAGAAATCCAGAGACAAAATCTAGCAAAATATTAAGAATCTGAAAGAGTAGTTTCAATGGTGAAGGGTAATAAACTGAAAAAGGATGCAGTATTTGATTCAACTATTACATGGTCCACTAATTTTGTATATAAATGTTGAAAACAATTAACATTTGTTCTGAACTTACTCAGAGGTCTTACCAAATACATTGCAGGCTGAGGGGGTGGTGTGTCACAAATTGTATTCCAAATAGCCACTAGGGGAAGGCGTTCTATAATATAAACATCCCTAAAATAGCATGGTTTTGTATCTCAGATTAACACGAATGCAATTTGTACAGTACAGCAAATGGTTTGATGGAAGAAGCTCTGTCCTACAATTTGGGCTGGCTTCAGGAACTCAGGATGGGGGCTACAATTTTGTGCTGGTTCACCTCCTTCCTCTGCGACTGGTCCCAATCAGTGTTGATGGGGGCAAGAGATCCACCCTGCAGCCCTTGCTTCATGGGGTGCTGCAGGACTCAACTCCACTCCTTTTTAATATCTTCATGAAGCCACTGGATGAGATCATCATTCACCATGAGATGAGGTATCATCAGTCGGTTGATGACACCTCCCCCCCAGCTTTATATCTCTGTCCCAAGCAAAATAACTGATGCTGTGGATACCCTTTTGTGGTGCTTGGAAGCTGTGGAGGTCTGGATGGGGAACTAAAGCCTGGTGAGACAGAGTGGCTGTGGATGAGAAACTTCTCTCTGTCTGGAAATGTATCATCTTTGGTCCTGGATAGGTTTGCACTGCCCCAGATGGGCCTGGTGCATAATTTGTGAATCTTACTGGATTCACAGATCCTGCTCACGGAGCAGGTGGCAGTTGTGGCTATGAGGACCATTGCACAACTTCATGTGTGCTCAGTTATGCCCTTTTCTGGATCAAACTCTTCTTTCAGATATTCACATCCTGATCATCTTCTATATGAACTATTACAATATGCTCTACATGGGTTACCCTTGAAGAGTATCTGGAAGCTGCAACTGGTACAGAATGGGCATCCCTTGAGTTGCAATGTAACACCTTTGCCACACAAGCCACATTGGGTGCCAATTTGTTTCTTGTTTAAATTCAAAGTGGTGATAATCACCTTTAAAGCCTTCCCGGGCATTCAACCAGTTTCCATTTACATCACATTGACCATCCACCCAGTCAGGCAGGGAGGGTATTTTGTGAATCTCATCAGTTAAAGAATTTGGACTGGTGGAATCCAGAAAAAAGAGCCATCTCTGCTGTCACCTCCATCGTCCAGAACACCTTATTTCCAGAGGTGAAGTGGCCCCCAAAAGAGTGCTAAAATCTGGCTCTGATAGTTGTCATGGGGTTTTAAGAGACATAAGAAACCTGAGGTGGTTGGTGATGTGAGGGTGCTTCCTCCAGTTCTGTCATTTTTTAATAGCTCAGTTTTTAACTTTCTAAGTCTGATTTAATTCTGTTTTATTTATGCTTTTATACTACAGCATGTTTCTTGTAAACCACCAGTCATTCAAGTGATATGGGCAACATAGAAATGTAATAGATAAACAAATAAAATCTAGACCAAAATTAACATAGGAAGAAAAGAAAATACAGAGTGAAACTTTAATTTTACAAATAGGCAGTGCCAGTCTATTGACTTTGTTGGCAGCTTCAACTAACTAAATGTAGAATAGATTTCATTTAAAAAGTAGATGACAATGAAGACATAGAAGATCATAAATACCTGAATAAGTACAGAGATACCAGTGTAGTCAAAGAAAGTCAAGCCACTGCAGTCAAATATTAGATTGTGCCTTTCACTGGGATGCTGTTGTAAGGATGAACTTCTTAGATCAGCAAATGCAGGATCTACATTCCCTTCTGGAAGAAGCAGAAATTTCCAAATGAATAAACTTTTCTAGAAATTAAAAAATATGGACCTTTCCCTCCAGAATGAATGCCAATCTGTGTTATTTTGGATTTTCTTCCAAGTCCCGGACTTTATACGTTTGTTAAGCTGCAGAAGCCGCAGTGTGAATAATGTTGCAGGCATAAGCCATTTTTCTAACTCTCCACAAGGTCAGTGATATAGAAGAACTGAAGAATGAACAAGCAACCAACTGTTCCTAGAAGTATAACCCATGAAAATAAGCAAGATCCAGGGCATATATCTGCTTCACATGTGAAGACATAGCAATAGCAATAGCACTTAGACTTATATACTGCTTCATAATGCTTTACAACCATCTCTAAACAGAATCAACATATTGTCCCAAAAATCAGGTTCCTCATTTTGCCCACTTTGGAAGGCTGGAAGGCCGAGTCAATTTTGAGTTGGTGAGAATCGAACTGCTGGCAGACAGCAGAATTAGCTGCAATACTGCATTCTATCCATTGCACCACCACAGCAATAGTCCAAGGATGTCAGATGTGAGATACTGATACTATTAGGTTATTCTAAGCCAGCGGTCACCAACCGGTGGGCCGCAGCCCACTAGGGGGCCATGAGAAAATTTTGGTGGGCCACAGAGAAATCTCACCCCCAGAGCATCCCCCCAAAGCAATTAATACAGGATGCGTAGAAACACAAGGCCATGCCACCCACATGGCCTGAGGCAATCTTCCCCGCCCACTCACTCCTTACCCAGCAAACTTACCTGCTAAATTGCTATTTTTCCTTTTTTCGACCATCAGGTGTTCTGCTGTGCCAGGAGATTTAGATTAGCTAGGAAGCAGGAAATGGTTGGATTTCTTGCTTTCTAGCAAGTCTTTAGATCTTTGGCTCTGCTGGAAGGCTAAGTCAACCTTGAGGCGGTGAGATTCAAACTGCTGAATTGCTGGCAGCCGGCTGGCAGCAGAATTAGCCTGCAATTCTATATTGCTACTCTTCTACTGTGCCATTATTCTTCTACAGTTTGCTCACCTTTGCATTCCTTGTCTCCTATGGCTTCCACATAAATTAATAAATAGAAGGCCCTTTAAATTAAATGGTCAGCACAATCTCCTCCTTCCATCAACTGAGGGTACATCAATTACACTACAGGGAACAATCTGATATCCTTTTTTGGGATTCATACCATATAGACATGTCTTCTAGGCCAGTGTTTCTCAACCTTGGTAACTTTAGGTTCTGTGGATTTCAACTGAACTTCCAACATTTCTGGGTGGGGAATTCTGGGAGCTGAAGTTCACAAATTTTCAAGCTGTCAAAGTTGAGAAACCCTATTCTATTCCTTCCCTTTCCTATGCCAGATGGAAGGTATGTGGACAGCAGTAAATTGGATTCCTTCCCACAATACAACAACCTGACAATCTCTTGAGGGAAATGGGCACTCTAAAAACATGAAATATAAATAAATTAATTAACAGGAAAATCAAGCACTGATTATTTCTTAAATTATTCACTCACCATGGCAGTTTCCATTGGATAATGAAGTAAGTAATATGTTCTGTTCATACTGAAACAAAAAAGAAAGCAGCATGGTTGATTGCAATGCTAATTTTTATTTTCTGCTTAAAAAAATGCTTATTCTGACTGTTATGAATACAGTGTATTTCCCTTGCTAAGAACCCTGACAGTTATTTTTCTACTATTTCTAAAATCATCAGGTTTCTTCATGATAAACCTTCAAGAACTTGGTTTCCAGAGAAATAATAATATTATTTAAAAGGGCATATTATATACAGATCAAACAAAAAGACAATTTGAATACAGTTTCCCTGGAAGCATGCTTACAGAAACAGGTTTCCAAGAATTGTTAAGGCTATGGGAAAAATTTACAGCATTGTTATTACCTGGGATACAAAACTAACCCATAATGAAAAATAACAACAAGAAAGCTGAAAACTTCCCAGGGTTTTTTTATTATTATTATTATTATTTACTGGCAGCAGTGTTGAAACAGAGGCAAAACACCAGTCATTTTATTTGATTTCTTTCATTCACTGTAGTAACATGGATGGAAAGTGATGATTAATTTTAAAGTTGACTAAGGGACTGTGCGTGAAATTAGTCAACGTGCTTCCCTCCAGATGTAGAACTACCAGCATTCAGGCATACCTGTTTGATTTATAGGTAAAATAATGCCACTGTTTCCAGATAGCCTTCAAAAAGTCTCATGTTTATATATCCCACTTTCCACCAACACTGATTCCCTAGCTCCATTCTTGATTTGAGACACAATGCTTGATGCATTTCTTTTGCAAAGGAATTACGTTTTTATTCTAGTGTTCAATCATTAACACAGATTAGAATAATCACTATCATAGATTAGAACCAACAGAAAACTATTATTTGCTTTAAATCAGGAAGGGAAAGATTGGTAGTATTTGAAAAGAAAAATGAAAGGCAGAAGGTGTGCCCAGGAGGCATTTACTTAACAATCACAATTGGGACAGCAACTCCATTGCTAAATGACATAGTCGCTAAGAGAGAGACACACATGACTGTGATGGATTTACAATCGCACTTCGGCTGGTGGTAAGTGAGACATCACATGATCAAAATCTGTTATTTTACTGCCAGCTTCTCTACTGACTCTGCTTGTCAGAAGACTAGGAAGCATGCAATTGATTATTTTATGGCTGAGAGGTTGCTGCACTCATTGTAAGAGTGAGACCAGTTATAAAATTAATTTTTCAGTGCTGCCATAACTTTAGTCACTAAGCAGGACAGTTAGTAAGTGAGGACTAGCTGTATGTGTAGAAAAAGCAGAACCTGGGATGGAGTTAAAAGAGGGATCAGCCTAGAATCCTTACATAGCCACAAGCGAACTAAGCCCAAGTCCAACTCCCTTGAATTCCGTTGATCCATATCTAACTCCAAGCAAGTGCTGACCTTCAGCTGAGAAGATTCCTGTGCATAGGTTTTTAACAATAAATACGTTTAATTAAACCTTCATGTGTAGACCTGGTCTTTCAAGCCTGACAGTATGCCTTGTTTGACAAGACATGTATCTTCCATCAATACTAACTGCATTTTAAGGACACTCTTTTTTAGACAGAAAGGGACAATAAAGTTGTGCAGGCAGATATCGCTATTTGTATTGATGGGTTCATATTTTGCCCTCAGTCTCTTTTTTGAGTATAATATGCTTTCTCTGGCAATACTTGGGACAACTGAAGAGCCACATCTAAAACTGTTATAGCAAAACACACTTAAGTTCTCAAGCTTTAAACAGAAAGGAACTTGCTTCTATTTGATTCCCTCACTTCTATTTCTATAGCTATCTACTTCATTAAATGCCAAATCCATTAAGTTTTAGAAACAGCTAAATCATTTCTGGAAGCTCTGAAAGGTTATAAAGCACTTATTGTTGTCTCTTTTGTAGATAATATCCGCTGGTATTATGTCTAAGGATTACTTAAAATGAGGGGTGGGATTCAAATTTTTTAACAACCGTTGCTGTGGGTATGGCATAGGTGGTGGGCATGGCTTGGTGGTCATGTGACTGGGTGGACATGGCTTGGTGGTCATGTTATTGATTGGATGTGGCCAACTCAATATCACTCACATCAAAGCACGCATCTCCTCGCCTGGTCTCTCAAGACTGTGGGGATGCTGCAATAGTCGTAAGTGTGAAAAATGATCATAAGTCACATTTTTCAGTGCCATTGTAACTTTGAATGGTCACACAAGCCAAGTACCAGGAAAGGAGGGGAAAAAAAACTCCAGACAGGAAGTCTAGTCCTGCCAAGAATGTAATAAGGGTTAACAGAGAGGCAGTTTCTGTAAGCAACACCAGAATGTTTCCTTTCTGCCTTCCTTGCAGGATTAGGCCAGTAATTTCTTCTAACAACTGAATAGGTGCGAACTGGTAGAATCCCACCCCTGCTTAAAATAACACTGACAGCTCCTCATTCTATGAATTTGCCTAATCATCTTCAGAGGATAAATTCTTCCCATCAACCCATCCATTCCCAGCATACCTCATGTTTAACAGAATTCTTGACTTCTACAAACTCTACAAGTCATCGCAATTCAGACAATTTCAACAGAGGCTTTATCAGTGTGTATGTGTGTATGTATTGATGTTCTTACTGAGCATCAGAATTATCTACCTTAATTTCTTGCGCTATTGGATCCTAGCTCCTAGTTCTAATCAGATTACTATTTTAGGGCCATTTCAAATCGTAATTGATTGCATTCCATATTTTCAAAAAATATTTTTATGGTTAGAGAGCATTTGTACTGTTATAATCAAAGTCTTTGTTTACAGTGCTGGATGATCTGCTGCTTTGAAAAATCAATCTTATTTTTCTCAACCATATTTAAGTGAAATCAGCAGAAATATTTCTATAGCAATAGAATTAAATGTGAAGTGCCAGCAGATCCAGAACTGTTTCACAAGAGGAGGATTCATTGGAGAAGGGGAAAGCGGGCAATGTTTTTCTCTAATAATCAGCATTTGTTCTATGGATAACTGTCTATTTATACCTCCTCCCATACTTATACCTCCTTTAAAGGTAAAGGTTTTTCCTGTCCAATCGTGCCCAGCACTAGGGGATGGTGCTTATCTTAATTTCTTAGTCGACGGAACCAGCACTGTCCAAAACATTTCTGTGGTCATGTGGCCAACATGGCTACACACCAAAAGCACAGGGAACGCTGTTACCTTCCCACTGAAATAGTATCTAATTAGCTACTTGCATTTGCAATTTTGCATGCTTTCAAACTACTAGATGGGTAAGAGCTGGGGCAAGTACTGGGAGCTCACCTCGTCACACAGCACTCAGGTCTCAAACCTGGGCTGTCAGTTTTCCAGCTGACAAGCCCATCATCTTAACTGCTGAGCCATTGCACCCCCTCAAGTCTCCTTTAGTCAGATATTTCAGAAATAAAATTAGAAAGCTTTTATTGGAGTAGGATAGGGTGAATGGAAGGAAAGAAAATACTTGGCAACAAATGAGTTTAGGTTCAGAGAGGACTCTTTTCAGAAAGTTGGAATTTGCTATAGGTCACTGTAAGCAAAAGAGAGCTGGGGAGAAGTCCAACTGAGCATTGCAGGTCCCCTTTTGACATAGTGTAAAATTCTTAGTCATGACCTTTTCCCAGCAATACAAAATACAATCACTTAACTGCAAATCTGGAGGCCAAATTAATGTTCATTTTTCCCTTCTCTTTATTAAGTGGATCTTACCTTGGTCATATCTTCCGACAGCTGCTGTGCACATGTCCACTCTTTATGGATTATTTCTAATATATTGGCGTAAAACTTCTTGGCATTCAGAAAGACTAATGGGTTATTCACTGACACTATTTTCACTGGTTGTGAAGATTCCTTTAGAATAAAAAAAAAACCCAATACTTTAGAAAATAAAATATTTTAAAAGCTTTATAACACATAACCCCTGTGTTATCAACATGAATATTAGGAGCACAATCAAATGCATTTCCAAATAGACCAATGACAACATGATTTAGGTTAGTACTGGTTGAACTAACAGAACTGAGCTACAATAATGGGGAATTACTAAACCGCAGTGAAGAAGTTTTTGTATCTCTTGGAAGTCTGGATTTTTGCAGCCCTGCTAAATCTGATATCCATACAATTATTGACTCTGAGCAATTGTTCTTGATACATAAATTCCTCAATAATATTGTTATTCTGTCAGAATTTGTGCTTGCAAGTCTACATTTTTGTAGAGTTCCTTTAATTTCATATTTAAATTTGCTGCTTTATTGGAAATTTCTGTTTATCATAAAGTTCAATAGACTATACAAAATAACATATTATCATCCAAACCCAAAAGAAATGAAGCAGAGATATCAACTCACAGCAAGTTGAGAGCCACAACGTAAAAAAATTCCAGACTTCTCCTCAATAATTTTGTCTTAGTTTAAATTAGGGGGATGCCATGGGTATGCCTTGAATTGCCATGAAATAAGATTGCCACTAAATTGTGAATGAACAAGTGAGATGAATGAAGTCACATTTCTCTCAGCGTTTTGGAGTACATATGAGCAAAGCCTGCACACACAACCCTCAACCCTCTTGGTCATCTGGAAAAAGAACTGAAATCTTGACATTTCTATATGCAACAACTTCGAAGAGGAGGAGCAAAGAATTTTTTCAAAAGACAAAAAAGAACAACAAAATTAAGCTTACAAAGTCCACTTCTGTTTTGAATCTGCATTCTGTTTCATTCATGTGCTTCAAGCTCAGTGTTGTTGCTCTATGACAAATGTATAGAAGAATGTGTAACAAATACATAAAATAGAAAATCTTTTTAAAAATCAAGTGTTTTTCTTGTGGTCCTATTCCAAGTGTTCCAGATGCTGTAAATTAGTTCCTAGCATAAGGTGCCTGCATGTTTAAATCATAGCATTCATATTATATTCTAAGAATGCTTAATATTTAAGCTAATCATAGAAGTGGTATATTTATCTATGTTGTCTTGCTGGTCATGAAAGATAAGCATTCTCCCGGTAGATTTTACATAATTTTTTTATACACTACTCAAAAAAATAAAGAGAACATAAAAATAAGACATCCTAGATCTGAATGAATGAAATATTCTTATTAAATACTTTGTTCATTACATAGTTGAATGTGCTGACAACAAAATCACACCAAAATTATCAATGGAAATCAAATTTAGCCACCCATGGAGGTCTGGATTTGGAGTTACACTCAAAATTAAAGTGGAAAAAAACACTACAGGATGATCCAACTTTGGTGTAATGTCCTTAAAACAAGTCAAAATGAGGCTCAGTGGTGTGTATGGCCTCCACGTGCCTGTATGACCTCCCTACAACACCTGGGCACGCTCCTGATGAGGTGGTGGATGGTCTCCTGAGGGATCTCCTCCCACACCTGGACTAAAGCATCCCCCAACTCCTGGACAGTCTGTGGTGCAATGTGGCATTAATGAATGGAGCGAGACATGATGTCCCAGATGTGCTCAATTGGATTCAGGTCTGGGGAACGGGTGGGCCAGTCCATAGCATCAATGCCTTCGTCTTGCAGGAACTGCTGACACATTCCAGCCAGATGAGGTCTAGCATTGTCGTGCATTAGGAGGAACCCAGGGCCAACAGCACCAGCATATGGTCTCAGAAGGGGTCTGAGGATCTCGTCTCGGTACCTCATGGCAGTCAGGCTACCTCTGGCGAGCACATGGAGGGCTGTGTGGCCCCCTAAAGAAATGCCAGCCCACACCATTACTGACCCACTGCCAAACCGGTCATGCTGGAGGATGTTGCAGGTAGAAGAACGTTCTCCATGGTGTCTGCAGACCCTGTCATGTCTGTCACATATGCTCAGTGTGAACCTGCTTTCATCTGTGAAGAGCACAGGGCACCAGTGGCGAATTTGCCAATCTTGGTGTTCTCTGGCAAATGCCAAATGTCCTGCACATTGTTGGGCTGTAAGCACAACCCCCACCTGTGGACGTCGGGCCCTCATACCACCCTCATGGAGTCTGTTTCTGACCGTTTGAGCAGCTACATGCACATTTGTGGCCCGCTGGAGGTCATTTTACAGGGCTCTGGCAGTGCTCCTCCTGTCCCTCCTTGCACAAAGGTGGAGGTAGCGGTCCTGATGCTGGGTTGTTGCCCTCCTACAGCCTCCTCCACATCTGATGTACTGGCCTGTCTCCTGGTAGCGCCTCCATGCTCTGTACACTACGCTGACAGACACAGCAAACTTTCTTGCCACAGCTCGCACTGCTGTGCCATCCTGGATGAGCTGTACTACCTGAGCCACTTGTGTGGGTTGTAGACTCCGTCTCATGCTACCACTAGAGTGAAAGCACCGCCAGCATTCAAAAGTGACCAAACAAGGTTTACCTTGAGTTTGTATCTATTGTGTGCTCTTGTATTGTTACAGTTGAAGCTGAAGTATTCATTGACAGGTAGGACATTGCAATGTATAATTTTATGTACTATACTTAGATCAGACCGAAGGCATCGTAGTTCTAGGTTGTCTAGGTCTAGAATTTCAAGTCTGGTGGCATAAGGTATTCTGCAAGGAGTAGAGGAGAACTCTTCTTGTGAAATATTTCTGGACTTTCTCCACTATATTAATATCAGATACATAATGTGGATTTCAGACTAATGAGCTGTATTCAAGTATTGGTCTAGCAAAAGTTTTGTATGCTCTAGTTATTAGTGTAATATTACCAGAGAAAAAGCTACGTAAGATTAGGTTAACAACTCTTAATGCCTTTTTGGCTATGTAGTTACAGTGGGCTCTAGCACTTAGATCATTAGAGATGAGTACTCCAAAATCCTTGACAGAGTTTGGATCATCACTATTCAGCCTGTATTTTATTTTCTGATTTTTTTTGCCAATATGTAGGACAGAGCATTTATTTGTTGAGATTTGAAGTTGCCATTTGTTTGACCATTCTGATACATAGTCAAGGTCTTTTTGAAGGCTAGCAGTATTGTCTGTGGTGTTGAATAGCTTTACATCATCAGCGAAAAGAACGCAGTTGCTCTTGATATGATCACAGAGGTCATTTATGTAAGTATGAAGAGAGCTGGTCCTAGAACACTGCCTTGGGGGACACCACTGTTGACAGGTACATAATTTGATAGGACGCTCCCAGTTTTGACCATTTGTTGTCTGTTTGACAGGAATGCTTCTATCCAGTTATGCAGTTGTCCAGAGATACCATAAGATTTTAGTTTTACGAGTAGTTTGTTGTGTACCACTGAATCAAAGGCTTTACAGAAGTCTATGTAAATTGCGTCTATTTCTTTGCCCTGATCGAGTTGTGTAGTCCATATGTTTTTGCAGTGTTACAGGATAGCTTTTTTCTGAAACCAAATTGTTTGTTAGAGAGTAGGTTGTTTGTCTCTAAGTGGAGGATAATGGATTGGTTAATAATTGATTCCATGACTTTACAGGATTAGATGAGCAACAAGCAAATGTTTGACTTTACCGTTGATTACCATTTTCCCCACTGCAAAGGATCATCTTTTGAGTCTGTGCTTACTTTGATCCTTGCAATAGTCCTCCACTCTGAAAACTGACCTTCTGAAAAAGAGTCAAGGGCCTACTCAACTAATAATTCTTAGTCATTATAGCTAAAGTCATACAAGTAAATGTGAGAATTAGTTCTCATGTGATCAAAAGTAAAAGATGTGGTATCAGATCTGTCTGTTACCAAAGCAAGAAAAGATGGATATGGTTTCACTCACCTTAAGACAAGTATAAGTAGTCTTTAACTTACAATCACAATTGGAACCAGGATTTTGATGCTAATTGGTGCAGTTATTAAGTGACTCATCATGTGATCAGACTCAAATTTTACAACCATTTTACTGTAGTCTTTAAACAAATCATGTGGCTGTTAAAGTGAATCACCTGGTCATTTAAATGAATCTGGCTTACCCGATTGACTTTGGTTGTTGGAATCCAACTGGGACGGTGGCAAATTGTGATTACCTGACTACAAGACATGGCAATGGTTGTGAGTGCAAGCCGATTATCAAGCCTTAAATTGTAACTGTGTGAGGCAAGCAGTGGTGGGATTCAAATTTTTTTACTACGGTTCTGTGGGCGTGGCTTGGTGGGCGTGGCAGGGGAAGGATACTGTAAAATCTCCAGTCAAAGGTGGTATTTGTCAGTTCTCTGAACTACTCAAAAATTCCACTACCAGTTCTCCAGAACTGGTCAGAACCTGCTGAATACCACCTCTGGAGGCAAGTCACCTTTTCCGAGGTCATGATATTTTTGAGCCGTTCTGCTTGAACAGTCATAAGTTAAGGACTTATGTACAAACACAGACCTGTAATTTCTAACCTCTTTTACAGAGCAGGTAGGAGAAAGAGGCACAGGAATTTGAACACTTATTTCAGTATACATAGAACTGGCACTTGATATACAGCAGCTACTGGAATTCTTTTGAAAATACCCTCTTGACTTTGGTACTATAAATAAGAAGTTCTTGTGTCCTTATGGGCCTATTTATCTGTTCTAATCAAACTTGTCAAGAATAAATCTGACTGAAATAGCAGAATAATTATATTTCCAACTCATTAAAACTTCCAAGATTATTTGTAGGATGTTAAAAAAAAAGCTGAACAGTTATACATAACAAAAGCAATTTGTAGTATACATTTGTCATGAGGAGAACAGAATCATTCAGCATTTCCAGAAATGATTGGCTTCTAAAAACATTTTAAAAGGCCTCACCTTGAAAAACGGAAAACCACTATAAGTATTGTGCAGACGACGCCATACAATAACCCTACATTAGCAGCAAAGCAAACTGTAAACACGTAAGTGCTGACCCATATACTCTGAAAGATACCAAAGATGAAAACATAGTTCATAATTAGATATACACAATTCTTTTTCCTGGTGGTTTTATTATATAATTAACATTTTCATTACTTTAATTAGAAACAAACAAATGTAAAATCTGAAAAGCTATTTTACAAGATAGATATTTTTAATTTAAATCATTTAACAATCGTATACCTCAGAAGATATTGGCCTTCTAAACTGGTAAAGGAAAAATAGTTCATTCTCTAGAACATTGAGCATCTACTAAAGCATATATAAAATTAAGACTGTGCAAAGCATGCATAAGGGGTGCTTTGCAAACCAAGTTAATGAAGCCCTCCAGCCCTCCTTCTCAAAGCACTGAAGCAATTGCATCCTCTGAAAATTAGAAAAGCAGATGTGGATCCACATACATGTGGAAACAACCAGGGAAAGCATGATGATATATATTTCAGAATATATTTCTATGCATGCCTCTTCTGCTTTCTTAGATCATATCCTTATAAGGTTGACTGCTTGTACTCAAAAGACTATATAGCATTCTGACATCTTTTTGATTTCTTATGAAACAAAAATATCATAGCATGGAAAAGAAGGAAAAATCACGAATGCAAAATTAAAAGTGCCTTTTAACAAATCCGGCTGTAAAACCATATTTATTTTTTATTTGCTTGGAAATTTTCATATGTTTCTTATTTTAATGCCACTGTGTTTCAAAATCCTTGCTTTTCATTTCAAAGCATAATTGTGATGTAGAAATTTTGCTGCAAAGTGTTCCCTCTGAAGACTGGGTAAAACATTATATTCTAATCAGAAAAAACAGCTATTTGTTTTTAGAAACAAAACAGAAGCTGGAATAGTCAGGAATTATGACAAAGATCCACTTCATCCCTAGCATATGGAATTTTAAGGAAATCAAAATGATGGGAAATTATCCTCTGGTGACTAATTGACATTTGAATGAGGCAGTCTGATTATTTTCAATCTCTTCTACTGTAGATAAATTCCTATATAAAATTATATCACAATGCATGGTCCTTAGAGCAAATTTGCCAAATTGAAATTATAATCACATCTGGAGTGAAGTCATTTCTTTACAAAAGCACTGAAGCATAGAACTTGGAAAAATGACTGGCTCAGCACTTACATATTAAAATGATGACTATGAATTTCAAGCAGAAGACAAAAAGATAACAAACAGAGGCTCAGAAAAAGTTCATACGAATTGTGAATAGTAACAAATAAAAATCACAGTTTAAAACAAGAGCCCTGGCTAAACATTCTATTCAACCAAAGGAGAAAGCTAATTTTGCAGCAATATTCTGTTATACACAGGATGGGACCTGTAGTAGCTGCTACCTGATGTTGAAAAAGACATTAAAAAAGCAACTTTGGAGGCCTCTCAGTAATGTCCCAAAGGTGCTTTTTCAAAAGGAAACTGGACTTTGTTTTTCTTGAGTATCCTTGAAGAAGTTTTGCTTCTTATCCAAGAAGCTTCTTCAATTCTGACTGTTAGAACTGAATGACAATCAAAATATCTTCAAGGAAAAAAGAGAAAGAAAAGTGCAGTTGCCTTTTGAAAAAAGCACCTATGGGACACAAAAGGGATGATTTGTTTATTAAATTAAATGCCTTTCATCTCACTGTCAAGCAACTCAGGGCAGCTACAAGAATAAGAAGATGAAACTTTTAAGATTACTCCTAAGGTGACCAACTTTTTTACAATGAGAAGGAGGACACAAATCAATTGAAGAAAAAAGCAAAGCCACTTGCGTGTGGCACACTCTCTCAAAACAATTCTCCTGTGACGAGCGCATGCGTCTCATGATCGCGTCTCGCTGCACTGTACCGAGCCTTGACAAATCATCATGTCAAATACAAATACGTCACATCACACATAACAGATCGGCTTGGCATCGATCAAATATGGAAGATTAGTCTTCAAATATCAAAAAGGAGGACATGTAGGAGGACACTTTTTGAGAGAGGACAGAACTTACAAAAGAAGGACTGTCCTCCCTAAAGGAGGATAGTTGGTCACCTTATTACTCCATATCCTGAAAAGAGTTAAACTTTACTTACCCATTCAGTTTTATCCACACTCCAGTATTTTTTTAAATCTCGGAACTGCATCAGCATTCCCTTCAGGCCCACCACAATGATACTTGCTAACACACCCTGGGATGAAAAAGACCTTCGTTAGAAGATAAAGTTCATTATTCTGGATTATTCATTATTCTATCATCATCATCATCATATATATATATATATATATATATATATATATATATATATATGATTTCCTTCCCCAAATATACATAATGCAAAGTTAAAAATTAACCCAAAAAACCAAATATGTTTAGGTGAATGCAATTGTTACACTTGTATCTACCTTATTTATTTATTTATTTATTTATTTATTTATTTGTTTGTTTGTTTGGTCAAGTGATTATAAGATAACATGTATAAGTATAAACATAGTTATGAATACATGAAATGGATACATATAAGAAAAATAAAAAGAAACAATATCTCCCTATTTCTGTCTGGCTTCAGAACTCTATTTTTCTTTAGGAAAAAAAAAGGCTTTCATCAGATCTGATATTCAGGATTACCTATTTTCCATACTTCTTTAGGATTCTTTTTGGTTTTGTATTATTATAGTCATACAGTATCTGAACTACAGTTTTCCTTTTCTATGTCTGGATTTTCAGGACTAAGGTAGAAATACAAAAAGCTTAATACTTTTAATACATAGAAAAAACAGGTAAGATGGATATTCTCTGGATGCCTGCACGCCAATTTCCAACAAGCAACAATTTCCACAATGCAGTATGGAATGCCTGGACTCAATCACCTTAACAAAATTGAGATTATGGTTCAATGTGATAGATGAACCCAGTCTAGCACCATTCAGCTGGTTAATCATCATTCTCCCAATGAAGAGAATGATGAGTTTTCAAGGTTTTTACAACTAAAATTGGGTCAATCTTTATTTTTATCCAATTGTCATGTGCTGCCCAGAGCTGCTTTTGGTGAGATCAGCAGCTAGATAAATTTGATTAATTAATCAAATACATTTTTATAAGTTCCAGCTATTTCCTTTATTCAGTGGTGGCCAACCAAAAGCATTCATGATTAAGATAATGAATGACCTGCCGGCAATGAAATCTTCCACCTGTGCTTGACAGCCTTCTTAGAATTTTATGATTTTTCTTGAATGAATCTGCAATCTCTGTGCACTTATATAGGTAAAGATAAGGTCCACTGAATGCAGAGAGATTTCCTTCTGCATGTGTTAAAAAATAAAAATTTCTTTGAAACAAAGCTGGCTCTTGGAGTGCACCTTGATTTCTAGCAGCAATATTTATTTTTTCCTTACAATGATGTTCCATTTTTACACCAGAAACTTAAAAAGAACACATGACAAACAGTCATATAGAAGTGGTGAACCACTGCTTGCTTCTGGGATTATTGTTTCTAAAAACTTTCCAATCTAGCCTCTTGCTTGGGGATTTTTAGTGGTCTCTCATCAAAGTTCTAAGCAGTTCCAAGCTAAACCAGCCAAATAGCTGAAGCAAATTACCCTACAGTTGCTTTCCCTTCTCCTGTTCACATAAGTCCCTTTGCAAGCACTTTTGTTATACAAAAAGTGTTTTCTTTCTTAAGCAAAAAAAAAAAAAAGGTGCTTCATGTTTTATACACTGAAAGAACAAATTGAGTTCTTGTGCTGGGGCCAAAAAACCCAGCTCAGTCTTACAGCCTATTTTAATCTTATATAGTAGGTGCACAATATCTAAGCTTCTTATCCAAGCAAAATAAAGAGTACTTTTTCACATATTTTTTGTTCTTGGCATGCAGCAATGGAATGTCCTTTCATGGAGTCCTAAAGAAAAGTGGAATGATCATTTTCAGAAGTAATAATTTCAGCTAAATTGCTATACAGTTCAAATAATAATAATAATAAAGAACTATAAAAATAGAATAGTAATTAAATAATAAGCACACAATAATAGTTAAAGGGGAAAAAAAGAATTGTACCATGGGTAGCCAGTATAACATTGGTCCTATTGTATAGATAACCACAAGCACCAACATACAAGATATCAGACAAGCCACCTAAAAACAGTTGGAAAGGAAAAAAAATCATATTATTCAGATTCTAAAACTCCTACAAATAAAAGTCCTTGGTTTTCTCAAAGTTGCTGAGCATAACAAACCACTGCAGACATACAAAAATTAACAGAGCAGAGACAGGGACTTTTGACTCTCTCACAAAGTGTAGTTGGAAACATTTGAGAATAAATTAATATTTTTTCTTATTATAGGGTATCCCTACATTACTCAAGAAGAAAATGCATGTATCAAATAACAGTATATATAACATAAACTCAAAAGTGGCATATGTTATTTCAGATAAACTACCAAAGAACAGCTTTAAAGAGGAAAACTCAAAGATGTAAAGTTGTATTTAAAAAAAAATAACAATGTGTTCGCTGTCTACTTGTATCCGTATAAGTGTTGAAATCCACAGATATTGGTATATACCTTCATTTCATTTACATCATTTAGGGTGGATTTGCATTTGTACAGATGCATACGTAACACAACTGTGTCTTGGAAGCTACCATGGCTTTTAACCGTGGTGGGAAATATGGGAAATATTGTTTTAATATATCTATCTGGAAGTCTTCAGATGGAGAATCCAGCTCTAGTTACCCTAGCAAACTAATGCCAGAGCTATGCAATGTTTCTATATGTTACTGAATTAAATCTTTATTTTCAAAAAAAATATATGCTACAGATTTGATTTGTATGAACATAATTTACATTTTCTTAGAGAAGTTTCCCTTTTCCTTTATTTTACTCTGTCTAAGAATAGAATAGAATTCTTTATTTGGCCAAGTGTGATTGGTCACACAAGGAATTTGTCTCCAGTGCTAAGTTCTCAGTGTACATACAAGCAGCAAGTGATAAATCATGAACAAGCTGTATATCAAGCTGTATTACCTAGTTTGATAGTGAAATTCCTGCAAGAAGACAACCAAGATCAGAGAGCACCAAGGACCCTGCAGACTGTAGAGCACTTTGATGTGACCAACTTGCTCTTCATTGTAAGTAAATTTTGTTTTGCCTTCAGGAATTTTACATGGGATGATACATTATGGAAGATACATAACTGTCATTTTTTTTCCTTTCTCTTTTCTTCTTTTTCATATTAAAGAAAGGACTATGTGATGAGAAATTTTTGTGCCAAAAGTTTCTCCAACATATGGAAAATCTTTTTGGCAAAGAAGTAAGGAAAGGAAAGGAATTGCTATTTTCTACAGAAACACAACCCTTTCATAAATGTGACTCCACTCTAAATGCCAAACGAATAAGTACTATAAATTTTAAAGTTTCTTTGCCATGCTGATCTGATTCTTAATGACACCAAGATTTGGAGAATTTTTAAAGATGATGTATTAAAAACTAATTCAACTCTCTGAGTTGAATAGTCATTCTATAAAGGCCACTATCTCCACCCATCCATCATGACAGTAGAAATACCTGTGTTTTTGCTCCAGTGTTGTACAGAAGTGCAGTTCGTCCCATGGCTGCTGCACTTGGTATGCAAAAGAAAAATGAAGGGATCACATTGCTGAGGCCATGAGCCAAGAACTCCTGAAAAAGTTTTTTACAAAAATAAGGAAGAGGCTACACCGAAGTCCCATAGAATCAAACAACCTCAACTGAAGTCAACTTGCCTTCCCATCTCTTATACCATCATCCCCAAAGAAATGCATCCCAAAGGCCAGTTTTAAGGCTATTATTGCTTTTTACCTGGTTATCATCCACAGAGTAATGAAATCTTTGAGCAGAGTCATGGGCCAGAGCTAGAGATGCCACATAACCAACTAATGCAACTCCAAAAGCCTCTGTCACTACTTCAGGGAGGATCTTCAAAGGTGGAGACCTTGGTGCTGGAATACTACAAAAGTAAGGACAGTTTTAGGTGGCAGAAAATGTCACACTGAAGAATGTGGGAAAACTATTGTGAATATTAAATGAATATCCCAGAGAAATCAGATGTACTGTACATTATTCTACTATTACAAATATCATTAGAACCTGAAAAGGGCCATGCATTATAGGTACATTTTTGGGGGTTATTCAGTTCAATTGTGTATGTTTTTCTCCTTTCTAAAAACATTCCTATCCCCACAAGGTGCAATGAAAGGAAATATATTTATAGCAACTTATTTCAATGCATTTCAGGTCCTGGTGATGTGCGGGGGCAGAGAGCACTGCATAGCCTTCAAATTTCCCAACACTGAAATAAATTACTGTGAAAGTAGCAGAGAGGCACAAGAGGTAGATATGTCAAATTTATCCACCCAAGATTAAGCCCTATCTGTGACCTGAGAGAGAATGGTCTATACGTGAAAAACAAAGGATATACTATTTTATTATTGAATGTATAAATTTAAAAGCATTTGTTTTATCCCTTTGAAAACTCTCTGTACATTCATACATATAGAAAGTGCATTCAAAAAGATACAAGAAACATTTACCAATATGTTATTAAAAATAAAATTATTAAGTACCAGATTTTGATTTCATTTCTTCTCCTGAGATGTTATCATCTGTAGTAATGCAAACTGTGTACTTTTATTTTCATTCTTCAACTGTTTTGTTGCTTAGTTCACATTAACAACTGAAACCTACTGTATAAAATCTGGATAAGAAATAACTATATTTCCATATGTACATGTATATAAACACAAAAACATATTTATAGAAGACTCATTACCCTTTTGGAATATGTCCCACAATTTCCAGGCCAAAACTGTGCTCCATGTCAGCAGAATAGCAGATGAAAGAGGTAGCAATTACCTATTGTCAAGCAACAATAAAGATTAAGTGATTTGAAACAAGATTATTTTTTTTAAAGTATAGGAAGTAGCATAACTGTTTTTCTACTTTCTTAAAAATATGGATTAAGACCAACCATACAGCCAACTTTGAGATGGCATCACTTGTTGAATACCATAATTATCTACTCAGGTTATGGTTCAGGGGAGACAAAACGGAATGTTCTTTGATCCAAAGGCCACATTGTTTCATGAAAAACACAATGGGAGCCTTATAGCCATACTTCCTTCAGTGACATGTCTTAAATGTATTTCAGAATTCCAAAGGTGTTCCCTCCATATTCATCAGCATTTTATATTATTGAAGAGAGTTCCTAGCTTTCAAGAGGTGCTTTCTGGAGTCCAGATGGTTGTGGAACCAGAAAAAAAAAAGGTAGGAGTCATATAGTCATCGTGTATTCCTCCTTTCTAAATATTTAAAAATCCTGGGGAAGGACATCGTAAAATCTCTGCCTGGGCAGCGGTAGACTAGCCTGTCTGAAGATGGTGATTTTGCATTAAATTTATACATCTTTACATTGGAGCTGCAGTATATATTGACTTAAATAAAAAGTATCAATGTAGTTAAGCTCATCTGACATTTTTAAGAGAAACAAATTGGGGCATTCTTCAAATTAATTACCCTAGCTTATATATCACAACATTGTCTAACTGACATTAATGGGCACAAACAGTATTGATTAAATCTTTATTACCTTTTTCTTTCATAGGAATGTAATATTTTTCTCAGAAGTTTTATGAGAAATAATATATGAATCTTGTGGCAGTGGAGTTTGAGACATGCTGCTTATCAATATCATTTTTTTAATTTGATAATTACAGGCAGAAGGAAAATACATATATTTTAAAATGGTCAAGCTTTCTAGAATTATTTATTTACGGTGTTTCCTGGAAATTTTAATTTTTAATTATCCTGTAATATGATATATTATATTATAAAATAAAATTGTAGCTAGTTTGTAATTTGTTAAGATTTTTTTAATCATGCCTTTCCCTTTAGAAATAATACATACCATAGCACTGCCTTCTTTCTTCCTGCCCTGTTGAGTATCTTCATATACTGTATGTTCATGTGCATGTATGTGTGTCAATCATCCTGGCAGTTGCCATGGCTGAGGATAGACTTTAGCTGATTTACACAGCAGATTTATGATAACATCATTACATTGATAAATCTAGACATATCTGTTTCATGAAATAAGCAGAAGGCATCAAGAACTGTAGTAAATTATCAATACAGTACCTAAAAAGTCATACTTACCAGAACCAAATCAATAGGAAGCACTATTTTAATTTTCTTCTTAAATTTTTCATTTAGCTCTTTAACAAGAACTAGTATGACAATACTAGATATAGACAGTAGGACAGTTTCCAATTGAATGGATCTGATGTTTTCAAAAATGTAGGCATAAATCTATATGGAAAGAAAGATCATATATTATAAATAAGCAATCTTTTAAGATACATTCAGGTATGGAGAAATTATTGATACTGAGACCTAATCCTGAATATTATGAGCCTCGGTGGCGCAGTGGTTAGAATGCAGTACTGCAGGCCATTTCTGCTGACTATTGGCTGCCTACAATTCCACCAGCCTCAAGGTTGACTCAGCCTTCCATCTTTCAGAGGTGGATAAAATGAGGACTCAGATTGTTGAGGGCAATATGCTGACTCTGTAAACCGCTTAGAGAGGGCTGTAAAGCACTATAAAGTGGTATGTGAGTCTAAGTGCTATTGCTATTAAAGATTGGATCCAGCAATGCCCTCCACATTGCTGGAGTTTCTTTTGTTTTCTGAAGAGATGCGTATTCAGTTCAAATCTTTATTAGAGAAAAGAGAGGAGTTTAACTTTTGCTAAATGTTTCATCTTTCCTGTAATTTCCAGGAGGCTTCTTAATCTTCTGAAATACAGTATGAATCATTGCTTTGCTTTATATACCTATAGAAGTCTAGATGAACACAAATATATACTATTTAATATGTGAAAGATATATGGCAGACAACTGACATGGCAAGTTGAGTCAACTATGCTTGTAACAGTTTCCAAAATTAATTTTAATTTTAGAAACATCAATAATTATGACATGGAATATTAGTTCTAATAGCCAATGAGCTACAGAAGAATCTGCCATTAATGGCAGAGAAACAAGTCAAAGCCTAGTTTAAGAGAGGCAGTGATATCAAGCTCTAAGGCTCACCTTCAATACACTCACATGAATAGGGTCTAAGGTTCTCCAAGCAAAGACAAAAGCTCCATGGGAATTCAGAACATAACAGAATAACAGAGTTAGAAGGGACCTTGGAAGTCTTCTAGTCCAACCCACTGTTCAATCAGAAGTCACCATACTATTCCAGACAAATGGCTGTAAATTGAACCTAGAAAGAGTCCTAATGATAATTCCAGTGAAGATGACATCTACAAATAAAAAGGTAATTTGGTGGGTTGCAGGTTGCTGTGAACTCTACCATCAAGTTTAACCGCTTATTCTTGTTTTAGCCATTGCCCTTGTCCAACAACACAAAGAAACTGAGACTGACATTTCTAGCTTTCCAGAATTGAATTATAGAGGGATAAAATATCTTTGTTAGCCCATGCAAGCTGTTGTGGAGAATCTTGGACTTTTCAAAAAAAAAATGCAATAAGACACTTGAGAAAAACACTTGGTGAGACCAAAGGACAGGAAAGTTCTTTTATGTTCCTTGTTGACATTTAATTAAATCATAATCAACTCAACAAATCATCACAGCAACAAAAAAAGAATCACATAAGAAGAAGAAGAAGAATTAAGAATAAGAATTTATTTTTTTGTCATTACACTCGCAAGCGGGTGCAACGAAATGAGGTGCTCTTCCACAAGTAAAACTGGACAACACCATTGAAAGAAAAATAAAATTAAACACAACAGACCATACAATAATCTCTATACAATTTAAAAATGTAAATACCCCATTACTCTCAGCCATTAAATTCCACAAAATCTTATGACCCTGCATTCAAACTCAAAACTGCACTTGGATAAAAACTGTTCTTAAATCTAGTCGTCCTTGTTCTTAATACCCTGAATCTCCTTCTCGATGGTAATAGCTCAAAGAGCTGATGTCCCGGATGAGAGGAGTCATTCAATATATTAAATATCTTCCTTTTACATCTATTCCTATACCGTTCTTCCAAAGAGGGGAGTGAGCAGCCAATGATGTTTTGGGCCATCTTAATCACCCTCTGAATTGCCTTTTTCTCTGCCACTGTGCAGCTCGAGAACCATACACAGAGACAGTTGCATAGATAACATTTTCAAAACGAATGTAGACATGTTACATACATCCAATCAGCAAAAAAAAGCAAATTCATCTCAAGACCCCAAATCAAAGTTTATTTTTAGAATGGAAAGTCCAAACAGACTTTCTGAAGAGGCAAAGGATAAAGCAGTGGCTGATGAACATGGCAAGATTGAATTTGCAGAGTACACTCCCAACAGAGATGCACACTAGAGCTCAATAATTGTATAATTTAGCCACATCATTGAATAGTGCATACTAACACATACAAATGACATCATAGAGCTAGCATGCCAAAAAGTATAACTGCAAAGAAAAGCAATTAAGGTTGAAGTTCTAAATGGGTGCAGCTATCAAAGCAAATAGCTTTATTCAAAAGATTGGAACCTATACTAACAAATCCAATTTTACAGGCAGAAAGCACCCATTGAATTGCTAAAAAGTGTTTTTCTCCAACATTTGGCAGCCAAACGCAGCACTGATTCAAAATGAAATTGCTTTACAAACATAATTTAAATCTAAGTCTTGAATCATCTAATTCAGAAACTTGTTCATAAGAAAAATAAGAGATCAGGTCCTAAATATGAACACTCACTTTTAAAGAATTATTTATATATTATTTAGCTTGTTCTTATTTTCAGAAAATGTGCTACACAGCATTTCAGCTGTCAAGTGGAATCCTGCCATGCCTTGTCTTGGAAAAGATGGTTTGGAAGTTATATACTTTATTTTTAATATTGCATATCTCAACATTCTGCATAGCCAAGTACAGCTGGAAACAGCTACTTTTAAAAATGGATATGACATGGTCCTTTCCCATTTAAGTGTGGTATCTGTCTGGAAGATACTTGCCAGGCCTAATGAGCTCATATTTTTCTTTTCTTATATTTATGTAATATTCATTATTACATATAGCTAACAAGGTAAAGAAAGAACAAAATAAAAAGCAAAAAGTATAATGGATAAGAATTTTATTTATTTATATTTCATATTGCTTAACCATCTATGTCTCTTAGAGAATGAAAAGAAATAGAAATAAGTTGCTTTCAATTTTCTTTACAGCAATTACTGTGTATCTGAAATTATCTATACAACAAAAATCACTATTTTTTCTATTATCTCTTTTTTCTAATCATCAAAATGATAAATCGTGGTTTTTCTGTTTCATGCAAGAAGTCTATAAGGACTCAGTAAGTCTATAAAGTCAATAGTGAACATTGATATTGTCTTCTCTCTAAATAAGAAGTCAATTTAGCCACATTGAAGACTAGTCAGTAGAATGTAGCTAGGCTTCAGAACTCATGGCAAGTTCCAGATAGCATCAGATAGCAAACCTAGAATTGCATCCAGAATTGACTCCAGTTGGAGATAACAGAGTCAGGCCTGATACAAAAGGTCACAATAGTATTTAGAGTTTATCCCGCAACTTTAATAAGCATGCAAATAGGAGCAAAACAGCACAACAAACATTTATCAATATACTCACATAAAAGAATCCCAGAGGTCCTGAGATATATGGCATTTTCATTCCTAGGAGATACTTCACTTGTGAAGTCACGACGTGCGTTGCTGCCCCAGTTGTCATTGCACTTATCACTGGCTCTGTTAGCAAACAGGTAGCACTGCCCAAATGTAGCATAAACATTGCTACCTGAGAAACCAGAAATAATATAATTTCAGAAATATAACAGAGATTGCATCCAGATGCAGTTACTGATTCTAATGTAGGAAAGAGAAACACTAACTTGCACTTTTTTTAAAAAATGCAGATGAGAAAGTTCTATGAGCTAATCAAGTAGAAATTATTTCATTACTCATTGCACTCATGAATACCCTTTCAACCCATATTAACTTTCATACATTTATTAAATGCTATCTCTCTTGTGTATATATAAATATATTTTTCCCCAAATGAGTTTACCATCAGGCTCGGGCGCTGAGATTAGTTATAATAGCTGACTCTGGCCATTTGTCTTCATTGACTTTAGGTTATTCCAATGTACAAACATTAGAAGCTCTGTGGATGGGACAAATATTAAGCCAAAGAAGTCACACAGGTTACACTTAAAAGTTATGGTACAGGTAATCCTCAATTTACAAACACGATGGAGCCCAAAATTTCTGTTGCTAAGCAAGACCATTGTTAAGTGAGTTGTGCCCCATTTTATGAATCATTGCAGTTGTTAAGCAAATCATGCAGTGGTTAATTGAATCTTGCTTCCTCCCATTGATTGTGCTTGTCAGAAGCCAGCTAGGAAGGTTACAAATGGTGATCATATGACCATGGGACAGCACAACTGTAAGAATAGAATAGAACAGAACAGAACAGAACAGAATAGAATTCTTTATTGGCCAAGGGTGGTTGGACACACAAGGAATTGTCTTGGTGGAAATACTCTCAGTATACCTAAAAGAAAAGATATTCGTCAAGACTCATCAGGTACAACACTTAATGATAGTCATAGGATACAATAAGCAATCAAATCATACTAGGAAACAGTCAATATAAATCGTAAGTATACAAGCGACAAAGTTGCAGTCATACAGTCACAAGTGGGAGGGGATGGGTGGTAAAGAGTGATGAGAAGATTAACATTATTAACATTAATAATCTGATAGATCATGCAACCGTGGGGATGCTGCAATGGCTCTAAGTGTAAAAACCTATCATAAGTCACTATTTTGTAAGGCCACTAAACGAATGGATGTTAAGGACTGACTGTATTCGGTTTATAAAATTCAGACTAACAAATTTGAAATGTAAAAGGTTAGATTTCTAGACATCACAACTAGAGAGATAGAAGTAAGAGCCAGTTTGTCTGCGTGTCTTGTGTCTGTTTCTGTATCTCTTGGTGTGTGTGTGTGTGTGTGTATGTCTCTATGTTTCTTTGTTAAATACAACTAGTTCTCAACTTACAACAGTTCATTTAGTGACTATTCAAAGTTACAACAACACTGAAAAAGTGATTTATGGCAATTTTTCACACTTACAGCCATTGCAGCATCCCCAAGTCATATGAGCAAAATGATGCTATTGGATGCTTGACAACTGATTCACATTTATGATGGTTGCAGTGTCCTGGAGTCATGTAATCAATCCCCTTTTGGGACCTTCTGACAAGCAGGGTCAAAGGGGGAACCAGATTCACTTAACAACCATGTTACTAATTTAAGAACCGCAGTCATTCACTTAACAACTGTGTCAAGAAAAGCCTAAAAATGGGGCAGAACAAATTTCTCACTTAGCAACAATTGTGGTTGTAAATTGAGGACAACCTTGTACATACCCCACCTTTTTTTCAGGAATGAAAAAAGAGGTACACATGAGGTCCTCTCATTTCCCCTCACAACAGCCTTGTGATGTAGGTTCTTTTGTCAAGTACTGCACCAAAGGCATAACCAAGGAAAGACAAATCACACAGACTTCAATATGGCAATTAGAGGCAAAGTACAGAATCCCGGAATGTGTGTTAGGAACCTCCAATCCTAATTTGACAGTGAGTTTATTAAAGCAGAGGGTTTGTTTTTTTAAAAAAGACATTTTCAATCTATTAATAAGCCATTTTTGAGATGGCCCCTTAGACCCAAAGTATGCTAAATCAAGGCCCATTAAATAGAACTCAAATTCTGATGGAAAGCTTATCTGGATTTTATTAAACCTCCCCTGGGAAATAGTGTTTTGTTTTATTTTATTTATTTATTTATATTTCTTTATTTATTTACATGCAATACACATTTACACACACACACACACACACACACACACACACACACACACTGAGGGAGGGAGAGGGAGAGAGAAAGAGAGCCATGCACACACACAAATATACATTATCTATTCATAATTAAAATATAAAAGATCATATTATAGGAAATAAAAGTCAAGAGCTTTAGCAGCTTGGATTTGTTCCTGATCCTCACCATACTGACCTTGAATTATTTGATACTGTTTAAAAAGAAAAACTTTTAGCAGAGTATGAATGCAGCTATTCAGAACATCTCAACAAATTTGGCTATTGGCCTTCCTTTAGAACAAAAACATCATTTACCATGTGTGCATTACGCTATCTAGGCTATGACCAGTTAAAACATGATTTGGGTTCATATAACAAGGTTAACCATGAAAATGGTTCCAAAACAAATATCAGCAGGGATATTAATGAATATGATCCCTCTCCAATCACATGTGTTTAACAATTGTCTTTTGCTGTAATAAAAAATATGATGTGCTATTAACATCTGGAGATCTCTGGAAGATGTGCTGTAGTAGCTGATGAAAAGAGAGAGAGTAAGATAAAAAGAAAAAGACCAAAACTGCTGAAAGATGAAAAACTGAATAAAACTCTGAAAAAAATTAAGATTTCCATAATTCCATACCCAGTGTAGGTCAATTGAAAAGCATGCCTTACTTCTCTAGTGGATAAACAAAGATTAGAACAAAAAACACTGATTAATTTTTGTGTTCATGCTCAGTGAGAATAAAATATGTTTTCCTTCTGATACTATTTATCAGCAAGTAATGATAAGTCTTTTAAACGTATCAGGAGCTAGTGTAGAAAACAAAAAAGACAGCCAGTTCTACTGCTAATATATGTTCAACTTCTATTACAATAACATTTCATTCAGATATTACATTCAAAGATGATTCAATTAAATCTCATATTGGAAAAATGAGTGCCTCTGCAACCAATGTAGGTGCGCTTACACAAATATACTTTTTTTCCCAAATGAATTCTAAATATTTCATAATTCAATTGATGATTTGAGCTGGATGTTGTATAATTTGCAAAGCCTCTAATTGACCAGAAAGAAAGCATATAAACAGAAGCTTCTGAGACTCACTTAATATGTTATATAATTTGTATAAAAATCATTTTCATTACAAAACTAGAATACTCCAATAGTTCACTATGGATATGACCCATGCACACCTTTCCATTTTGCCTTAGACCCTTAAAGATAAACATGCACCATTCAGAAACACAAATTATTCTTTATCTTTTACATATTCACTGAATCTGTACCAGGAAAATGGCAGGAGCATAATTATTATTTCCAGATATAAGAGCCTACGTGCAACTGATTATTTGAGCTTACTTATAAATGATATAAGCAAAGTCACTAGTGTTATTGAGATGATTGACTTTTTTATGAAACTGTGCACGATAAGTGTGAAACATGCAGTTATACCCTACACTAACATTTAGTATGCAAGGTGAAGATGTCTTTTTCATTCATTTCATGTACAAAGGTCATCCAAATTAAAATTGCTGATACAGCAATTCTTCTCAAACACATTCACCCCATTGGTGGGGTTATAAATCATGTTAAGCCAGAGAATTGGCTTAAAAGTATACAGTGCAGAGGCATTTAGGATATTGAGAATTACAGCTCCCATCATACCTCATCATTGGCTATCTTCCCTAAAAATAGCAGAGTTATCATTTATTAACCTCTGGAATGCACAGATTATCTACTCCCAGCAATCAGACTTTGTTCAGTTTTGAATCAGTGTGTTGTGAAAACCTAAATACTGTGATTTGTATGCCATGTTTATATTTATTGTGTTAAGTGAAACAAATCAATTTCAACTTAAATTACAAATCATGATTAAATAATGCTTTAATATAATGTGTGAAATATAATCCCAAATCATTTGAAAATACATCCTTTCATGATGGCTTGCTTCTCCTGGAAACAGTGGTGGCACAGTGGCTGGAACGCAATACTGCAGGCTATTTCTGCTGACTGCCAGCTACCAACAGTTCAGCAGTTCAGATTATTTATTCATTCATTCATTCATTCATTCATTCATTCATTCATTCATTCATTTTTATTGAATTTATATTGCTGCCTATTCACCCATGCCGACTATGCAGAAATATAAATCCAATAAATACATAAAAAAATAAATACATAAATAAATAAATAAACAAACTGAAGTCTCATCAGCTCAAGGTTGACTCGGTCTTCCATCCTTCTGGGGTTGGTAAATAAGGACCCAGATTGTTGGGGGCAATATGCTGACTCTGTAAACTGCTTAGAGAGGGCTGTGAAGTGCTGTAATGCAGTATACAAGTCCAAGTGCTATTGCTATTGCTATTTTAGTACAAGAACTGATTTTTCTAGTTATAAAATTCAACTATTCTGAAAAACATACTTGAATCAGCCCTCCAAGCAGTGAAACTGCTGCAGCAACTCCAATCCTCTGCATCTCAAACTCAGATAAGCCCAATACTTCAGATGTATTGTCTGAGGTGAAATTGGTGCTTATGGGAGGAACAAGACGCTCAACAGCATTTGCAGAAATCAAGGAGGTCAGAGCAAAGGTTCCTGCAAAAGAAGAAAGAGGATTTAGTGATCATTTGTTTAATTCCTATCAGATCACTCTAAGTTGCTTAGGAAGAAAGAAATACCTTTACAGCTAAGCCATGATTCAGATTGCTGGGTTTGACATTCTATGTGAATCCAACCTCTGCATGTAAATTGGTCTTATTATGATGATGTTTGATCTTTCTCATTTATAGCACATTTAACAAAATCATGGTTAAATAAATCATAGTTATATGATTCCAGACTATGCCCAACTAATTCTAATTTTAACTTGAATTTTTTGAACATGTCATGTTTTATCACTATTTTGAATTTCTGAAAGTTGTGAGATATGGTGATATTGATTAATTAACTGATTGATTGAATTCTAATTATTGTCAGTATGCCATAGCTATATCGATATCCTAAGCACTAAGTCTTCTCAGCATATTTTTCTCTCCACCATCAGAGCTGATACCAGCCAGAGCATAGAAAGTAGGGCAAAGATCGGAAGTTGTAAAGAGACTTGAGTTAGAGAATCACCAAGAGTCAGACATAACTGCATAACATCAAATGGATAATATCATCATCATTTTGCTTTCTGCAAACATCACCTTTATACATTTCCTCTTGCCATGAGAATTCATTTCCATATTGAGAACTCCATTGTACATTATACAAATTCTAGGCAACAAGCTGTTCACTGTTTTTTGTATATACATAAGTCATATGACTGCATATATATGCAATCCTTGTGCTGAAGCTTATCTGAATTTTTTAAAAAATATTTCCAGGGATAGTTTGATGTCCAGCAATGGTCTAGACTGCATAAATGTTAGCATAAAATAAGGAGGGAAATAGTTTGAAAAACTGTAGGTAGAAACTGATTCTTTGTATGAGAAATCAGTTGCTGGTTATGTGTATAAAAGAAACAGCATACAACAGAAAATACTTATATCTCAGTTTTTAGAGAGTTCAGGCACACAGTACAGACCAAGGTAGACAAATAGTTTAGCCTGAAAAACACTTTTCCCTTTTCTATGGACTGAATTTGCATCCATTAGTCCAAAGGTCTTCAAACTTGGCAAGGAGGTCAGAGCAAAGTTGGCAAGTTTAAGACTTGTGGACTTCAATTCCCAGAATTCCTGGGCTTACATGACTGGAGGAGGAATTCTGGGAATTGAAGTCCACATATCTCAAAGTTGTCAAGTTTGAAGACCCCTGCATCAGTCATAGATGCAAGAATGTCTTCTTATATGGCCCCTTCCTACTGGGTGGAGCTATTAACTACACAAATTTTTATAGCACAGCCAATAAGTACGCCAATTGAAAATTATGAAAACTGGTACCCGTAGAAAAAAAAGTCATAGAAAGATTTAATTTAATCTACATTTGCTTTATTTAAAATAAATTATCATTAATACGGTCATTCTTTAATTAACTTCCTTCCTTCCTCTAGTCAAACAGTTACAGTTTGGTAATTCTTAAAGATCTTGAGAAGAAAAGTCAAGGATTTTGAAGGCCGTGTAATAGCCCTGAGGCCTTGGGCTATTCATCTCTGATATATCTGAGACTTTTACAACAAACACATCCTTAATGAACCAACGGATACTTAAGAAAACATAAAAATTAAAAACTCATTTTAATATTTGCTTAACTGTTTCCACTACTGTTTCAGAATGTGGCTTTAAACAGAATTCCTTCATCCTGCTGATTCTTATTTCATTTAAAGATAAGCTATATAGTATAACAGCATAATCTGTAAATATCTGCTCATGTATTTACCACTTTAAAAAATCAAAGTGCATCCAACATTTTTTCAAAATATAAGATAATATAAATACCTTTTTTAATAAAACCAATAGTGCATCATGTCCCAGTTGGGCAATTTTTACACTTAAAATAAAATAACTACATATCATCTACTCTGCTGACTCAACATTATCATCACTTCCAAGGAACTCACCGCAAAATCCCAATCCAGCTTGCCAGTGAGTGGCAAGAGAGCTTTAACAAAATGCTTTGGATACATTCCGATGCAAATTCTATGTACTTTGGATGGGATGTTGCTATCCTAGTAGACCACATCGCTCCCACAGAGTTGTTAAATGTATTGCTGAATGCACAAAGGCTATTTGCAAAGAGCCACGCAATTACTCAACAGAACACAACTGCTTCTCAGAAAGCATAATAATAACCAAGGAGAATGTGCATGTATGTGAGATTTTCAGCCCCAGAGGGTTTAGCTTTGTGTGAGGTTCCATGCAGTTCTGCATTTTAAGTGCAGAGACACCATCCCCAATACTAGAAAGACACAACTCTTTACCTTCCTACATTATGTTCAACCCATATTGAATTATGAGAGACATGACCCCATACTCAGCTCCATTGTTTTCTGCAACGAAGACCAGATGGTTTCGTCTATGAAATAAGCCTGCTTCACATTCTAAAAAGTCAACGTCTTTAATTATTAAGTTGAAGACTGTCATTGTTTCAGAATAAATGAAATATAGAATAGTGCAACAAATCCTGCCTGTTGGGCTTTGTTACATACTAAGATATCAAAAGGGAAGAAAGAGGAAAGATTATTACTCAGAGGAAAAGCATACAGGTAGTCCTCAACTTACAACCACAATTGAGTCCAAATTTTCCGTGGTTAAGTGAATTTTCCCTCAGTTTACAACCTTTCTTACCACAGATGTTAAGTGAGTCACTGCAGCTGATAAGTTGGTAACATGGTTGTTAAGTGAATCTGGTTCCCCCCCCCCCATTGATTTGGGACAAAGCAACGGTCACAAGTATGAACAGTTGCCAAGCATCTGAATTTTCATCACATGATGATGGGGATGGTACCAAGGTTGTAAGTGTGAAAAATGGCCACAAATCACTTTTTTCAGTGCCTTTGTAACTTTGAATGGTCACTAAATGAACTGTTGTAAGTTGAGGGCCACCTACACTGTATGCATTATAAGCCAGTAAGTCAATCTCTAAGCAGGGCTAGGAAAGAGTGCAATCTAAAACTTTGATATCTGCTGCTAATACATTGAGAGACACTTTTGAGCTCTATGGACAATTTCATAGGAAAGAAAAGGGGGGGGGGGGGAGAACTCAATAAGGGATGTCATGAACCTGCTATTGACTTACTCATATAAATGCATAGCAATCCTATACCTCAACTCCTGGAATTTTAAGAAGGAAATATAATTTTGGGTATTTTAAACTTGTTTCACATACTTTTCCAGATTTCATAAGTAGGAAAAAGGGGGAAGAAAAAGGGAAAGAATGTTGATATAAAGCAGGGTTGTCAAACTCAAGGCCCATCGGCCGGATCCAGTCCATGGGGTGCTTAGAATTGGCCTGCGGGGCCAGCCTGAAAATATCAAAGGAGCAGCCCGCGGTACCTCTGCAGGCCAAAATGGAATGCAGGGGCAGCTTCATGTAGCCCCCCACAGTCCATTTTTGGTTTCCACACCTCTTGCAGCACACTGCCAGCCAAAAACAGCCCATGTGGGGGCCTCACGCAGCCCCCGCTGCCTGTTTTCAGCCAGCAGAGTGCTGCAGGAGGCCATGGAGGCTGAAAATGGACTGTGGGGGGGCCACATGCTCCCCCTTCAGGCCCCATTTTGGCCAGTAGGGTTCTGCAGGAGGCATCCATCTCATCTCCCCCCTCCCCCCACCCCCGCCAACCCACTGAGAACTACAGCGCTGATCAGGCCCTCAAAGAAATCCAGTTTGACAACCCTGATACAAAGGAAGTACAGAGAGGCACAAAAGAAAAACCTTGCTTCCGGGATGTATTCTTCATCTTCTCTAAACTATAGTTATGACTGAAATCATAATCATTAGGATTGTCATGTGAATACAAATATTACTGACTCAATCACTTGAACAACATTGTTAATAAGAATCCAACTCATTATGCATTGCTCTATTTGCATTCAATGAATTTGCAAGGGGTTCTTACTAAAGAATACAAGCAGAATAATTCTGGGAAAGTCTCAGAGAAGCCAACCGGATATTATTCCATCATGGAAGAAGAAAAAAATGTATTTTTCTGTGTATGTGTAGCACTAAGATACATTTTTTTCTGCTTGATTTTGGTTTAGTGTGTATATACGTTGTGTGCATGCACGTGGTTCAACTCATACAGTAAGAAATACTACAGAATAAAATACAAAATAACATTGAGTTAATGAAGACATAGGCTAAGTTTTTCAAACTGAACCACTAGGACTTAGAAATAACTTACCTGGGGCAACATGGCGACCCATTCCAAATATGGCATAAATAATAGCTGGAAAGAATGATCCATATAAACCAAACACTGGGTGCACTGATGATAGAATAGCAAAAGCCAGCCCTGTAGAAAAGGTAAATTTGGAGAACAAAATATAATATAAGCCGTTATGAAAATATAAACATAATTGATGGGAAGAATTCCATTCTGGGGCTATTTTAAGAGGTCATGCGGTATAATAGCTGTATTATAACCCTGAGAATTCACATTTCCTGCAATGTGGCCCTTTCTAATAAAATATCTTTTTTGGTCCTTGAAAGCTTTTGTTATTTATGTGTACACACACCATATATTTGAAAGCCGATATAATACCCTAAATCCAATATTAAAAAATATAAGGATGGGTTATGTGAAAAAGCAAAATAAATTATAGTTACATTTTATTTGGTCTAAAGAAAGGCACGTGCAAAGTTACTCATTCTGTCAGGATCTAAATGAGTGAATGAATATTCTAAATTACATAATGCAAAAGCATATAAATTGTTTATATAAATTATAAAGCCAAGCAAAGAGAGAAATTAATGCACAAATAAAAAGTTCCATTAGTGTAAACCAGAATAACATGCAAATATGAAGTCAGTACACAATATGTTCCTTTGTTATCTTGGAATACTTAGAATGCTACTACTTATTGCTGTACTATATTTTATTAATTTATTTTTATTTTATTTATTTTATTTATCAAAAGCTTACAATATAACAGAAACAAGAATAAACTTAAGTTTAAATACAAGAAATAGGAACTAATAATTGGGGACAATAGGACAGGGATGGTAGGCACATTTGTGTATTTATGCACGCCCCTTACAGACCTCTTAAGAATGGGGTGAGGTCAATAGAGGTTAGTTTGAGGGTAAAGGAGTGGGGGTTTGAGCAGGTGACAACAGAATCAGGTAGTTAATTCCAGACATTGACCACTCTGTTGCTGAAATCATACTTCCTGCAATCAAGTTTGGGGTGGTTTACATTTAGTTTATATCTGTTGTGCGCTCCAGTGTTGTTATTGTTAAAGCTGAAATATTCATTAACTGGTAAGATGTTGAAGCATATGATTTTATGTACCTGCGGGAAAAAAATTTCTAGCTGATGCATTATATCGACTCCCACAAAATGATAGTAAAAGAGAAACTCTGATACAACCTATTATACAGGGTAAAGATACCATACAAACATTCAAATATAAAGTAATAGATGACCTATCAAAAGCTTTAGAAAAAGATCCCTGGTTACAGAGAAATAAAACAAAATGTATTATCACTGATGGAATAGCTTGGAAAGGAACGAAATTATATATACTGATTACCTCACGTGAACTAGTACTTAAAAGGTGCCATGATAGCAAACAAGCTGGTCATTACAGATATCTTAAAACGTTACATCTAGTTAAGAGACAATTTTGGTGGTCAGGTATGAGGTGAGACAGTGAACGTTATGTTAGAAAATGTAAAGTATGTGCTAGTAGTAAGGCCTATCCTGGAAAACCTTTAGGACTATTGCAAAAAGTGTCTGATCCAGTTAAACCATAGCAGGATATTGCCATGGACTTCATTGTAGATTTACCTTGTAGTCATGGGTTCATCGTAATATGGACTGTAATAGATCTGTTCTCAAAACAGGTGCATTTCATTCCATGTAAAGGCATACCCTCTGCAAAGAAATTAGTTGGTTTGTTTCTAAAACATATATACCGCTTACATGGAGTACCAAGATGTATTATTTCAGACAGAGGGGTACAATTTACAGCCAGATTCTGGAGAGAGTTTGTGAAAACGATAGGCTCACAGCAGGGGTTAAGTACTGCTTACCACTCGAGTACAAACGGCGCTGCAGAGCGAGCCAATGCAGCCATAGAACGATATCTAAGGTGTTATGTATCATATCAACAAAACGATTGGTCTGAATTATTATCATTCGCAGAGTTCGCTTATAATAACGCTATACATAGCAGCACAGGATATACCCCATTTCAAATAGTATATAGAAATGAGTTAAAACCAATTCCAGAATTGCCACATAGTACAGAGACACCAGTAATGCAGAAGCAATGGTATGAACAAATACAACAATCATGGAAATATGTAAGAGAAGCCTTACGTGATGCCTTCATTGCATGTAAAAAACAATTTGACAAATGGAGAAGTGAACAAAAACCTTTCCACATTGGAGATCTCATATATCCGTCCACTAAATATATAAATCTGGGTCTTCCTTGTAAAAAATTAGGGCCAAAATATATTGGACCATTCCCAATTGTAAAGGTAATTAATCCAGTGACTGTACAATTGAAACTATCATCACAATATAAAAGAATACATCCAGTATTTCATTGCAGTTTATTAAAACGTATATATAAAGATATAGACTCACCCCAAACACTTCTTGGTCCAATAAAAGATGATCAATATGAGGTAGAGGAAGTATTAGATTCCCAAAAGAATAGGGGAAAGTTACAATCTTTGATAAAATGGAAGGGGTATCCCATTGTGGAAGCATTGTGGGTTAATAGCAATGACGTTGTCAGCCTTCAAGATTTTCTACTACTGCTTTGCATCTTTTGGCTGCCATAAGTAACTGGGGGAGGAGGGGGGATATGGTCTGGGAAGAGAGCTAGAGGTGTTACATTCTTGTGTTGTGTAAATGAGGAGTAGGGGGGAGTATACTTTCCTGCTTTTAGGTTTCTATTTCTCGCTTAGCTTTCTTTTCTCTGCACAGCTGCAAACCTTTATCAAAATATTCCAAGGTCAATGGACAGAGGCCTCATCACCACCTGAAGATGTCCACATGATCATATTCAGAACTTTTAATTGGAAGAATCTTTTGAACTATGGGGGGTGGGAACAACTTCATCACTTTGTATATGTGATCTGCGCGCCTAAATTCTCAGATTCAGAATCATATTTGATGCTACCACTTCATTTTTCAGTAAAAGAATTCTTTTCTCTAATTTATGGAGTCTAAGTATTTCTTTCTTGGATTTTGAATGGAGCACTGACTGACAGACATCCATGCTCCATGATTATGTCAACAGTTTCATAGAAAAAAATCCACATAAAGAAACGGAAACATAACAACGCTAATGAAATATAAGATATTAATCCCCTCTGTTTCATTTCCAGGGAGGCCAGTGGTAGAGGGGGCAGCCTGTCAGGCTTTGTGAAACAACTCGCTCGACAGCATTGGAAGATTAAAGGCTTGAAGGAGATGAAACAAAAACAAACATTCCTACCAGATGACGTCTGCATGCTGACTAGTTTAGATTGATGAGGGGGGAATACAAACATTTCATTACATACCCACAATCAGCAATGCAGCATTAACGAAAAGGAACAGCATACTAATAAATTCATAAAGACAGCTTTTGGCAGGGTGGGTAAATAAATCAAGAGAGAGCAACTGCAGGAATGGGAGGAGTAAGGGGTAGTTGGGAATCGTGTCTTAGTTAGCATGAGATGTAGACCATAGAGTTAATAGGGTAATTGGGACACAAGTGCAGGGCGGAGACAGACAGCGATTAGGTGGGTGGAGTGAAGGGATAAATTACACTGAAAGATGATTGATTTCAGTGCTAACCTTGTTCAGTTTAACTGTGCTTGCCAGTTACTGTACTAGGAACAATAAAAAGAAAAAGAAAAAAGAATACAAACCTATCTGTTTCAATTTCTTACCTAGGATTTACAGAACCACGGCTAAGACTATTCTTAAGTTTAATCTTAGTCGATGTAGTTCAAAGTTGTCTAAGCCAAGAATCTCAAGACTGGTGCTGTAGGGTATTCTGTTGTGAACACAGGAATGTAGTACTTTTCTGGTAAAATATTTCTAGACTCGCTCAATTGTATTTATGTCAGATATACAGTGTGGGTTCCAGACAGCAGAGCTGAATTCAAGTATTGGCCTAGCAAAGGTTTTGAATGTTCTAGTTAGCAAAACAGTATTACCAGAGGAGAAGCTTCGTAAAATTAAATTTACAACTCTTAAAGCCTTTTTGGCAATACTGTTGCAGTGAGCTTTGGCACTTAGATCATTCGATATGAGAACTCCAAGGTCCCTGACAAAGTGAGGGTCATCAACAAGGTCATATCCGCCTAGATTGTATTTGGTATATAGATTTTTTTTACCAATGTGTAGGACAGAGCATTTGTTGGTAGATATTTGGAGTTGCCAATTGTTAGACCATTCAGGCACATAATCAAGGTCTTTTTGAAGGACGGTAGCATTGATGGTGGTGTTGAATAGTTTTACATCATCAGTGAAGAGGATGCATTTGCTGATAAGGTGATCACAAAGATCATTTATATAGAGTGTAAAGAGTGTGGGTCCTAAAACACTCCCTTGTGGGACACCACTGATAACTGGTGCAGGGTTTGATAGGTTGTTTCCTATTTTTACTATTTGTTGCCTGTTTGTCAAGAACGCAGTAATCCACTTGTGAAGGGATCCAGAAATGCTATAAGAATTTAATTTTAATAATAGTTTGTCATGTATCACTGACTCAGATGCTTTGGAGAAGTCAATGTAAGTTACATCTATTGCTTTACCCTGGTCGAGAAGTGTAGTCCATGTGTTTTTGCAGTGTACAAGTTGCAAATTGCAGGACAATTTTTTTCTGAAACCAAATTGTTTATTGGAGAGTAAGTTGTTAGACTCTAGGTGGAAGGTAAAGTTATAGAAGGCATGGGTGGATTTTGTGTGTAGATGATTTTCCTCTTGCTTGCAGTGGTAATAGATGCATTCTGCCTTTATCTGTCGGCATAAGGTGTTGTATTGGTTTTTAAAGTTAGTTACGTATTTAATTTTGTTTTTACACCATAGGGATTTTTTTTTAGATTGAAGTTTTGTTATTATTTTGGGTAAATTGTTTTTTTGTTTTTGTTTAGGGGGTTATTAATGGAATATATAGTTTAATGACTCTTTCAAGTTCAAGCAAGAAGGCATGACAATGTTCTTCTGTAGTGTTACAATAGAGAACAGAATGTGCCAATCAAGAGATGATAAGTCGTCAGCTATGAATTCATAATTGGCTTTTTTTAAAATTGTATTTTGGAGATCCATAATTATGATCCTCT